AGTTCCGCCACATAGAACAGATACCAGACACACAGTGACAAACGCCACTCTGGTCCCTATCATAGCTGGTTGCTTTCTGACGTCGACAGATCGACTGGAGTTAACGGACTCCCAGAAGCCTTTGCGACAAAGGTAGTAAGGCCTGAACAAATGCATCTGTGTTTGACGTGAGGCGCTTGAGACAACTAGACCTGCCATACCCCTATCCAATGAACACATTGCCTCATATGACCTACCCCTATAATGCCAGACATCACACAAGAGTGCCCTATGCTTGTTATGACATAAAAGTGCCCTGTGCTAAACCTTGCATGGCATTGCCCTTTGCTTGACATGACATGACAGTACTCTCTATGCTAGACATTGCATGACATTGTCCTTTGCTAGACATTGTCCTCTCCTTGACATTGCATGACACTGTCCTATCCTTGACACTGTCCATGATTGCATGATTGTCCTATGATTGATATTGCATGACATTGTCCTGACACTGTCCTATCCTTGATATTGCATGACATTGTCCTATGATTGACATTGTCCTATCCTTGATATTGCATGACACTGTCCTATCCTTGACACTGCATGACATTGTCCTATCCTTGACATTGCATGACATTGTCCCATGATGGATATTGTATGACACTGTCCTATCTTTGACATTGCATGATATTGTCATATCCATGACATTGCATGACACTGTCTTATCCTTGATATTGCATGATATTATCCTATGATTGACATTGCATGACATTGTCCTATGATTGACATTGCATGACATTGTCCTATGATTGACATTGCATGACATTGTCCCGTTCTTGATATTGCATGACCTTGTCCTATGCCAGACATTGGCATGTGGTAGACATTGCATGATATTGTCCTATGCTTGACATTGAATGACATTGTCCTATGCTTGATATTGCATGACATTGTCCTATGCTAGACATTGCCCTGTGTGGACATTGCATGACACTGTCCTATGCCAGACATTGCATGACATTGTCCTATGCTAGACATTGCCCTGTGTGGACATTGCATGACATTGTCCTATGCCAGACATTGCATGACATTGTCCTATGCTAGACATTGCATGACATTGTCCTATGCCAGACATTGCATGACACTGTCCTATGCTAGACATTTTCTTTTGCTAGACATTGCATGGCATTGTTTTTTGCAAGACATTGCATGACATTGCCCTAGCTAGACATTGCATGACACTGCCCTATGTTGATTGAGACTACACTTGGTATTGTTTCTTTTGCCCCTGAGTGTACAGTGGTCTTGTCCTGACATGACCAGATTTATCACTTGAAACCTACGAGCCCAGACCTAGAAACATAATGACAATGAATAATCGTGGCTTACTTACAAAGCGGGTTGTCTTACCCGCCTAAGCCACTCGAGCCCCTGATTGACATGACAATAACCTTGAGACATGACAAGATACATACAGTTAGTTTAAAACTCTAGAAACAAGAAGTTAATGTTTATACTATTTTGTGTAAGGTAAGGCTGATAAAGGATGTAACATAAGATAAAGTTGGTAACACTGGCTGGTTGACTTGGCATACACTCAATGTTAACGCTTTAAACAAGTAACCAAATATATGTGCTTCACACTATATTGCACCACGTGTTCACTGCAAGCTCAATTTATCATACCAAGGTGGATATGTGGATTGGAGTTGCCAGTTTCATCAATAGTTCACCTATTAAACGACGTAGACATTAAAAGCAACGATTAATCATTTGGAAAAAACCATTCCAGGAGTCACATATGTATGTAAACACCAGTCCAGCCATACCACCAATATACATACATGAAAGTGTCGCAACACTCCATATTGTTTTACATTATCATTAATGCTACCAATAATCACAGCAGAGGAGCTAATCAAAACACTAATGTGACTAACCTGCATAAATTGACCCGCTAAGAATAAATATATGGCAAATCTAAATGTAAAAAGAAAACAAATTGTAGTTTATTCTGTGAAGCAAACATGGCCCAGAAAAGACTCATTTTGCAGTGCTGATGGCTATGGTCGTATGATGTTGACAAGTGTGTTCTCAAATTCACATGCCCCACGGTCGGGTTAAAATTAAGACATGTATATGAAGATATTCATCATATTTCAGGATAATAAATCATTATCAATTCACTCGTAAAAATAAATGATGAATTCCAGTTGGATGATAATCTACGTCGCTTGTCAAACCTAAATTATTTGCGGGCAGGTATGTTTTGGTCAGGGCTGGCAAGTTTTACATCTAACCAGCACTGTGGTCTGGCCGAAATGTTTTGGAGTTTCATACCCTGAAGTGTGATCATTTATTTTACAATCCTCATCAGTATTTATAACCGAGCACAATGTCAGTATCTGGTGTAGCCTTTAGTTCATATGAATAAACTCGTATTCCAGCCAAGGCCTACATCAAGGCCGAGCACACCTTGGTATAGTGCAAAGTCGTCTAGTTACATGCTGGACTAGTGCAGCCTTATTCCCCGCCAACTGTAATAAAATACCTGACTCTCCAGCTCACTGACTGCATCGGACGTACAATTTGATGCTGAGGTAACTGTGTGCCATTCTTTACACACGGCATATTCCAATACATCAAGGTTCTTTCCTGGAGGATCTCCATGGCATATCCTTTGCCTCGTGGGGTCCCAAACATGCTCTATGGAATTGAGATCTCGACTCCCAATGGGCAAAGGTAGAGTCGCAACTGCCTCTTTACGTAGAAACAGGGAGAATAGAAGACGATGCTTTAGATTACCCCTGGTAGAAAACAGCACAGCGCAATGTGGCCCAGCATTGTCGTCCATGAAGACTGACCTTGTGTTCAAAGGATGGCCATCGAAATGTGGTACAACAACCATTTCCAGGACAACCGTTGGACAAAAGTTGTTGTTCGTGATCACTAGAATTGAATATTCATGATTCTTTTTAAAAGGAATGTTTTTTACTTTCATTTTGCTGTCATTTATGAAAGATATGCAAAATGTAATATATCCTGCTTGCAGGATAATAGTCCACACTCTTATATGGTTGAATGATCAGTAATGTTGACACTGGTTATTTTGATAAATTAACACTGTCAACATAGTCAAAATATGAATTACTTTGTTATTGTTTCACTGTATATAATGAATAATACATCAACTGCTGACATTCTACAGTATCCATTATACAATATTTGTATTCGTTAACCCCTATTCGTGATATGCATCATACTTGCGCCACAGTGGTTTCATTCAAACCCTAGTAGACAAGCATATATACTAGGCACATAAAGAAACTGTGCATACAAAAATTTAAAATCTAAATTAATCAAACCTGTGTAGACACATAAGGATTTAAACTCAGAGATTAGTGACATGTATCCAACATGCATGCGCGTTCCGCGACGTCGGTGGGTTCGTCCTTCAGACGTGCAATACGTTGTTGCATGTGCATTCCAGGAAAGAGAAACAGAGCAAATGAATGCCACACAATACTGTCACTTTGGAAAGCTCAACCCCTGCCCTTGCGATCGTTCAAAAAATTAAACGGCTATTGAAACGCATAGCATGGCAAGGCTCACGTCTGCACAACGCCATGAGGCCATTGGGATGGTCCATGGGGGAATGTCTCAACAACAAGTGGCTGCACATGTCCACTGCCACCGGAACACCATTTCTGCACTGGTGAGACGCAACCAGAACACAAATGACGTCATCGATCGTCCACGTTCTGGACGTCCACGTGTAACAACGCCAAGACAGGTCAGATGGATAAGGGTGACCCATCTTCGCCACAGGTTTCAGACTGCAGTGATGACTGCCCGAACCATCCCAGGACTTCGCTGTATCCACCCCAACACAGTTTGACAACGTTTACGTCATCACGGGATCAGACCACGACGTCCCGCCATACGGCCTATCCTGACATAACGTCATCGACAAGCTCGCCGAATGTGGTGCCGAAATCTTGTCCGCAGACCCTTGTTTTGGTGGAGAAATGTTGTTTTTACAGATGAGTCCAGGTTTAACATTTCCCATAGTGATGGACGTCCAGACCAATCTATGTGCCAAGTTTGGTGAAGAAATAGTGAACAGTTTTAGAGTTCTGCTCCGGAAAAGAGCACAACCACCAATTTCAGTCTAAGTCAAACTTGTTGCCATGGAAATGCCAAAAATATTTTATTCAGAATTCCAAAACTACCAAAAGGCACCAGTACACCACCAGATCAATGTATGTGCCAAGTTTGGTGAAGAAATATTGAATGGTTTTAGAGTTCTGCTCCGGAAAAGACAAATGTGCACGGACGGACGCACGGATGGAGTCCATTTTAATACCCCCCGCAAAACGCGTTGCGGGGGATAAAACTGTTTTATTCAGAATTCCAAAACTACCAAAAGGCACCAGTACACCGCCAGGCCAATCTATGTGTAAGCTTGGTGAAGAAAGAGTGAACGGTTTTAGAGTTCAGCTCCGGAAAAGAGCACAACCACCAATTTCAGTTTCAGTCAAACTTGTTGCCATGGAAACGCCAAAAATATTTTATTCAGAATTCCAAAACTGCCAAAAGGCACCAGTACACCACCAGATCCATGTATATGCCAAGTTTGGTGAAGAAATATTGAACGGTTTTACAGTTCTGCTCCGGAAAAGAGCACTACCATTAATTTCATTCTAAGTCGAACCTGTTGCCATGGAAACGCCAAAAATGTTTATTCAGAATTCCAAAACTACCAAAAGGCACCAGTACACCGGAAAAGACAAATGTGCATGGTCGGACAGACGCACGCACGCACGGACGGAGTCCATTTTAATACCTCCCGCAAAACGCGTTGCGGGGAATAAAAACAGGTTCTTGTGTGCAAAACACAAGTGAGAAAACACTAGGCTGTAATCTGTGCCACAAACCCTGAGATGACTGATACAAACTAATTTCTTAGCATCATTTCCAGAAGAGTGAAATCTTGTTTAGTGCACAATTATTAGATGAGCTTACTGAACAGAACTTTATTAGATTTGGGCTGAAGAACACAAACAAATGACTCTTCCTTGTTAAGGGCTACTGTTTATTTACACATACTTGAGTCAAACAATATGACCCCTCTTAATAAATAACACATATATCATTCTCACACATCCACCAAAAATACTCTCTAAGAAGTTCTGTACCAGTACATCTATCACATTGTAGCTCATATATGTCCTCAGTCAACCATGGAATAGAACATTACCTGGTAATAGTACAACACTTCACATGACATCTGTGTCTTACATGTTGACTGTAACAGACAAGCTGATTGTAACATCTGTCTTAAAGAAAAGACACCAGGGTCTAGATTTTCGAAGCTCTCTTAGCGCTAAGATAGTCGTAAGTTAATATCAATGTATGGCACCTTACGACTATCTTAGCGTTAAGAGAGCTTCGAAAATCTAGGCCCTGTGACAGCAGGGAGTGGTTCAGAAGTTCGATGTCTGATGTTGAGACTGGACAACCCATAAAACCCAGACCCCCACATCAGTCATAATGAGGACATTATGAAACAGATGGTTTCAGAATAAATAGAGGCACCGAAGCTCATCTATATTCAGAATTCTACAACTTGGGGTCTTGTTAAAGTTCTAAATAAACAAATTTGCCTTTAAACCATGCTTCCCAAATTTGGATATACAATATTTGTCCATTGATACTGCTCTCTCTTTAGGAACTCACTTTTTATCTGACATAAATACAACTTCTGAGACAGCCTCTAAGTCATCACACCATATGAAAATAGACCCTTAGACATCCCAAACTGATTTAAACATATTTTCCACAACGTAAGCCATCATACTTCTTCCTGTCTTTATGTCATATTAACAGATTAGACATCGTTGATTGAACCCAGGCAGTCCCCACAGGTCATGTTGGACCAGTTGTGTATGGAAAACAACTATTTCTCCTGGATGTTGGCTAAACTCAGACTTAAGGACAAATGATCGTGTCTATCCCTGATTTACCAAATATACTGTTGTGTTTGCTGGGCTTAAAGGGTACTGTTTACATATTATAAAAAGTAAAGTTTAGCAGCTTGATTTAACAAAGCAAATCATTGAAACTGTCTAAATGCGCAGTCCACAAATGACAAAGGTGAGCTAGTGCTTTCACAACAACACTATCTGAACTCCTTGGGTATATCAACTCGACTTCCATAGTTAAGTGTAAACAGAGATGGTCCTGGTCGTAAGATCCTGGCACTTCCCAGACACTCGTCCCCCCGATAGAAGACAGCATACTGCCCGGCTGTTATAGCTCGCAGAGGCAGTTCAATACTGACGATGAGGCAGTTGGAACCAGACAGGGTAGCTGTGCAGCGGATTATGGGATGTACACTCTGGAACCGAAACCCTGCTGTGAACATGTGATCATGTGATGGTGGGGTCCCCCTGATCCAGTGGGGTGGTTCTGTGAAGAGGGTCTGGGTGAACAGGGAAGGGTGGTCGGTTCCTGGTGCCTGTAACAGATTCAGTGATAATCAGATATAGGAAGGGTGGTCGGTTCCTGGTACCATTAACAGTCAATGATAATCAGATAGGAAGGGTGGTCAGTTCCTGGTACCATTAACAGTCAACGATAATCAGATAGGAAGGGTGGTCGGTTCCTGGTACCATTAACAGTCAATGGTAATCAGATATAGGAAGGGTGGTCAGTTCCTGGTACCATTAACAGTCAACGATAATCAGATATAGGAAGGGTGGTGGGTTCCTGGTACCATTAACAGTCAATGGTAATCAGATATAGGAAGGGTGGTGGGTTCCTGGTACCATTAACAGTCAACGATAATCAGATATAGGAAGGGTGAAGGGTGGTTCCTGGTACCATTAACAGTCAATAGATAATCAGATATAGGAAGAGTGGTGGTCGGTTCCTGGTACCATTAACAGTCAATGATAATCAGATATAGGAAGGGTGGTCGGTTCCTGGTACCATTAACAGTCAACGATAATCAGATATAGGAAGGGTGGTGGGTTCCTGGTACCATTAACAGTCAACGATAATCAGATATAGGAAGAGTGGTCGGTTCCTGGTACCATTAACAGTCAACGATAATCAGATATAGGAAGGGTGGTGGGTTCCTGGTACCATTAACAGTCAACGATAATCAGATATAGGAAGGGTGGTCGGTTCCTGGTACCATTAACAGTCAACGATAATCAGATATAGGAAGGGTGGTGGGTTCCTGGTACCATTAACAGTCAATGGTAATCAGATATAGGAAGGGTGGCCGGTTCCTGGTACCATTAACAGTCAACAATAATCAGATATAGGAAGGGTGGTGGGTTCCTGGTACCATTAACAGTCAACGATAATCAGATATAGGAAGGGTGGTGGGTTCCTGGTACCATTAACAGTCAATGATAATCAGATATAGGAAGGGTGGTCGGTTCCTGGTACCATTAACAGTCAACGATAATCAGATATAGGAAGGGGTTCCTGGTTCCTGGTACCATTAACAGTCAATGGTAATCAGATATAGGAATCAGATATAGGTGGTCAGTTCCTGGTACCATTAACAGTCAACGATAATCAGATATAGGAAGGGTGGTGGTTCCTGGTACCATTAACAGTCAATGGTAATCAGATATAGGAAGGGTGGTTGGTTCCTGGTACCATTAACAGTCAACGATAATGGTGGTCAGTTGGTACCATTAACAGTCAACGATAATCAGATATAGGAAGGGTGGTCGGTTCCTGGTACCATTAACAGTCAAAGATAATCAGATATAGGAAGAGGTGGTCGGTTCCTGGTACCATTAACAGTCAACGATAATCAGATATAGGAAGTCAAAGTGGTCGGTTCCTGGTACCATTAACAGTCAACGATAATCAGATATAGGAAGGGTGGTCGGTTCCTGGTACCATTAACAGTCAACGATAATCAGATATAGGAAGGGTGGTCGGTTCCTGGTACCATTAACAGTCAACGATAATCAGGTATAGGAAGAGTGGTGGGTTCCTGGTACCATTAACAGTCAACGATAATCAGATATAGGAAGGGTGGTCGGTTCCTGGTACCATTAACAGTCAACGATAATCAGATATAGGAAGGGTGGTCGGTTCTGGATGTCTGCAACAGATTCAGTGATAATCGGATATATCATATAATCAGTTCAATACTGACAGGAAAGCAGGAGGAACCAGAAAGGGTAGCAGAGGAATATGAAACCCTGCTGTGAACATGTGTGCACTGTAGCGTTCAGGGGTGCCCCTGATCCATACAGGATGGATGGTCAGTTCTTGGTGATTATGAGAGAGGCATTGATAATAACAACCAGACATTCCACATTTTAAGTGTCAAAGATACTTTATAAAAAGAGGGGTCAAACAGTCATTCCCTGAATAAAATTAAAATGTTTGTGACCAGCTATTTCCAGCCATTAAATACTAGTGAGAATGCTTGTGCTTTTGGAAAAAGGTCAGATCTCAATGCCTGCATGTGTAATGTAAATCCTCTTCAACACATGTATTTCCCAAATGAAAATGAATCATACACAGTGACAAGAAAACAGAGCATTGTGTTTAGTAAGAGGGGTGCGTAATGGTTACTGGCAGACTGGTCTGGAAGTGAGGGAAGTGCGTATTGACGGGGCATGGGGGGGTGATTAATAGGGTGAATATGGTAGGTTCAGAAACACCAGCAATGTTAAATTTTTCAAAAAACCTAAGCATGTCTTTATCAAGCAGACTTCCCCTCTTTTTATCTATGTCATTATGATGAACAATGTCCTCTGACTAAATATACACATTTGTTGGTGACCTGGGCCCCGTTCCTCAAAGCGATTGTAGCTACAATCAGTTGTAAGCCCTACGATCAATTATCGTAAATAACAATTTATTGTCGTTCCTAAAAGCTATTGTAAGGGAATTGTAAGCATCGCAATTGTAAATCTTTCGATTGTAAATTACAATCATGATCTTCTGTGTGAATGTTAGAAATAATGCGTTTACAGTACTTTCCGGTTGGTGAAAGTTGCTTCCCCTTTCATGACGTCGATGGGGGCACGCTTGACCAGTATGTAGCAGGGAGTGGAGTCATCCCACAGATGACATCCTTACCTTGTCAGCTTGCTGACGGGGTTAACCTCTTTGGTCTTGTGGACAAGGCGTCCGACTTCGGATCAGAAGGTTCGTGGTTCGAATCCCAGCACAGGACTCGGAAATATTATGGCCACTACATTGGCGCCCAACGTGGGGCTGAGCACGTTCATATCAAATTTGAGGAAAATAAGTCTCAGTACCCAACTATGCGGCTCGGGACGTGCCTTCTGTTGACGGGGGAGTATGTAGCAGGGCGTGGAGTCATCCCACAGACGACATCCTTACCTTGTCGGCTTGCTGACGGGGTTAACCTCTTTGGTCATGTGGACAAGGCGTCCGACTTCGGATTAGAAGGTCCCAGCACGGGACTCGGAAATTTTAGCCACTGATCTCATAAAAGCCCATCATTGTATGAGGTGCTGATTCGACAGTAGGAAAATGTATGTTGTTCAAGACGTCAATTATTCCTCTAATCGTTGGGTGAATCACCCTGCATACACTTGACTTAGCCGTGCCATGGATATCTCCAGGCTCGGAGAACAATCCACCCTTAGCAAATTGTAAAGTAATTAAAACTTTGCTTTCTATGGATAGTGCATGTAAACGCTGGGTGTCCAAGGACAACCCAGATTCTAGAATGCTTACCATTTTCAGAATGGATTTTCATTATTCTGTAGCTTGAAAATATTTCAGTGTCATTGTAAACATCAAGAACACGACTACGGTAATAAGCAACATACGGAAGTGATTGTAACTTACAATTGCTTTGAGGAATGATAGAGTGATTGTAAGTTAAAATTACAATTGGATTGTAGTGATTTACAAAAAATTGTAGTGTTACAATCGTGTTGAGGAACGGGGCCCTGATGATCATTTTCTTGCTGCATTGGTCATTATGCTTACAGGTATTGGATTTCAAAAGGGAAATCCTTTAACTACTCCTAAAGTTATTAGTTAACAGCTTCCTTTCCTTGTTTCATGATATAGTCTTTGTATGTCCACAATGTAATGTGATGAAGTCGATGATCGGGGATGGTTCCATAGTGATGATCAGTCATTCCCAACACTACTCACAACTATGACATCTTGAGTGCGAGGGTGAAGCTCGGAGACGAAGTATGGGAGGTCCTGTCCAGCTATCTGGGCCCTCTGTCCAACTGTCCAGTAGTGAGTGCCTGTAAACAGTTCAACCATTGGTTCACATTGTATGTATGTAGACATCCTACTTAAATCACTCCAAAAACACCATCAAAGTACATGTATGTACATATCATCATGCTCTAGTTAACCTTCTTTTCCTTGTAAATATTACTTTGACAAACCCAAACAAGTAACTGTTTCAAATAACATGACAACACTAATGACACATAATCTTCACAAATGAGAGGCACATCAAGATACATTGATACACAATACTTCAATTTTATTAACTAGTCTAACCTAAAGGCTAGTGAAGTCTCCATATAGAAAGCTCTAAGATAGTCTACCATGAAAGCTGTCTCAGAAAAAGTAAATACCACTGCTGAGATTTACATCGCCCTGACAGTTCTGACATTAAATTAGGATCTGTTATTCAGAAGCTTTGTTTGTTTGTTGTTTAATGCTGCATTCAGCAATATTCCAGCTATATGAAATCCAGTGATCAACATCATGAACCTTGATCTACTCATTGGGATACGTTGACATGTGTGAACCAAGTCAGTGAGCCTGACCACTTGATCTTGTTAGTCACCTCTTACAAGAAGTATGGGTTGCTGAAGACCAATTCTAATATGGATCCTCATGGGTTATTCAGAAAGCACCTCACCTTTATGATAGCCCATAACTTTTCCTGTTTCCACATGAAGGAACCTGCCCTTCTTTGGCTCTATATACTGAAAACAACATACGATTCCAAGTAAGAAATACTCAAGTCTGTCTGGCTATACGTAGAGATAAAAGTTAAAAGTGAGAGAAATTCCTGCACAGACTTCACCAATTGCTTAAGAGCCTCAATTTGTCGTTTGTTGCTATTTGGAGTAGATATCTGTTCCAGTCTATGGACCCCTAGTAACTGAGCATTTTATTAAGTTTCCGATTCATTACACTGTATGTTTTTACTTCGCATAGGGATCTTCATCTTCATATATAAATTCAGAATTTCTTTTAAACCCCTTGTGAAAAACCCTACCCCAGAATTACAAGCCATCCATTTACCTGGTAATATTTTTCCCACTCCAATGCCAAAATCACGACACATTTTTCAAACAAACATAATCCCTTAAATTTGCATTGGAAAGTGTTGTATACTTTGGTATCTTCTGTGCAGTTTGTCACTGAAGCATATTGAAACAGAACAAAAGCAGACAATCAATATAAGGGAGATAACTCTATTGTTACTGATAGTAAATATATAATATAAGAAAATAATCCAAATAGAAAAAAGATGATCCTTTTCACATAACATACCTGTGACAGGGATTAATTAAAAAATGCAAAGCAATATTCAGGCACTTCTTCCATTTTCACTGCCTTTGAAGGCAGAATAAAAATTTCAAGGGTTTCATAACATGTACAAGACAAACCTCAATGTCAAGTCCTTTATTTGCAAATACTGCAGGCAACACCAACCTCAACAAATGGCATTTGTCAATCAATATCCAACAATTATACATGAGTGATCTCAGAGCTCCAGATAAGATTTAGCTCATGTGGGTACTGTACCCATTGTATTTTCTTTGGAGTGGGTATTATGAATGTTGAGTGGGTATTTCATTTTCCGTTACCCACTGCTTTCAAATATGTGCGTTTTTCAGTGATTTTACTCACCTAAGTATTATGTCATTGAGTATGTTTACTAAGCAGGCATGTTCTGCCTTATTTCATACCTAATCAAAACCAACTTAAATATAATGGAAATGATTTCATAAAAAATCACTCATCCTGTACTGACAGTACAACACTTGTCCTATACTAACAGTACAACTTGATAGCAATTGATGTCTTTTTCATTACGCAAGCGATTTTTATAAATAGATTCCGTATGCATTTGTTATAAACTTTTTGCGTATCTAACATTTTAAATGCGTAATTGGTACACAACAATTATTTTTCAATCCGTAATTGAAAATTTTCTATGCGTATTTCACCCAGATACGCAGCTTATCTGGGCCTCTGTGATCTTGTTTGTGGTTCTCTGATATTTCTCTACGAGACCCAAGGAAGTATATTACATACCTCTTCGATAAAGTTCTGGAAATTCCTTGTACCAATAAAGCAAATACCCATACTCTGAAATCAAAGAAGATCACTGTAAGCCAATGAAATGTTTTCCCCCGCAAAAATACATGTAACTAAGGTCATTTGTCTCTGGAAAACACAGCATAGCTATTTGACTAATGATGCCTAACTGACTTTGTTGTTTATCGCTGCAACATTCCAGCTATATCACAGCGGTCTGTAAATAATCGAGTCTGGACCAGACAATCCAGTGATCAACAGCATGAGCATCTATCTATGCATGGGATACCATGACATGTTTCAACCAAGTCAGCGAGTCTGACCACCCAATCCTGTTAGTGGTAGGGCTTTCACGGGTACTCGAGTACTCGAGGACGAGTCGGGTTTAGCTGGACTCGAGTCCATTTTCTAGGACTCGAGGACTCGAAAAGGGGAGATAACTCGAATTATTGGATTACAATCACAGACTGTCTGTCTGCCATGTGATTAGCACAATAATTACATGTACAAAACGAAAGCTATTAACACAATAAAACTGACATGATATAATTCAATTAACCACATGTAAAAAGGCTGAATAATTCTAGTTGTTATCACATGGTGATAATTCAAAATATTTGTTGCATTCACGAATACTTGATGGTATGAAAGACTGCCTAGCTCTGTTTGTTTTGAGGGAAGGTAATCGACAGCAGCGTCCAGAAAGAAGTACTTCAAAACGGTGAGATAAAATATGTTAACTATCAAATCTAATTTTAGTTGCCTTTTTGACAATCTGGCGCTCATAGATAAAGGGAATATACTCGAAATTTTGTCGGCAGTATAAACAATTTTGAAAAGTTTTTTTTTGTTGCGATCAGACAGGCCCCATACCAACACAGACAATTGTAGGTCAACACACTTTGAATAAAGCTTTGTTAAAACTGTCATTACGGTTTTGTCAATGACTTGACGATAATAAGGTTCAGAATCAGAAATTGAGCCATTAACAGTGGCGTCATGTGCGAATTTCACAGTAAACAAGTCATTTAATGACAAGTAACAGTCATTGGTATACAAAACGAAGAGTACGGATGAAAGAACACAGTCCTGTGGAGCTCCAGTAGAGGTTGAGAGGAAAGAAGATTGATAGCCATTGACACTGACATACTGAGTTCTATGTACCCTGAATTCTTTAACCCATCTGATAATGTTTTTATTAACACCTAGATTAAATAGTTTACTCCTCACACGGTGTGGCTGTATGGTATTAGTTGTTACAAGTCTGCAGATGAGAGTAATTATTATACATCGTTTGAGATTTCACTTCTTAAAATGATTAGGTAACTATCTTAACAGACATGGAGAACGATAAAAAATCAAATGTATGGGCGTGTCTTGATCAGGATAGTGAAAAGAGAAAAATAACCAAATGCCGCCTGTGCGGTATATTACTGCGTTATGCAGGCAGTACAACCAGTATGATGGAAAAAACAAACATTTGGCAAGTAAACATCCAAATACGGATTCTGACCAATAGGAAATGTTAGTCACACGACGATATGAAGTCGGAATGAAGTAAGTGTTCACTTGTGTGATCGGAACACATGTCATGCCGGTTACGCTTTCGTTTGTTTGAAAGGTATGAATTTCGAGTACTCGGGTCCGAGTCGAGTCTCACCCCTGGAGTACTCGAGTCCAAGAAAATGGACTTGTTGAAGCCCTAGTTAGTGGCCCTTTACAACAAGCATGGTTTGCTGAAGACCAATTCTAAGTGGATCTTCACAGGTCTTGACTGACATCTCCATAGGATGATGATGATGATGATGATGATGATGATGATGATGATGATGATGATGATGATGATGATGACGACGAGTCGACGACAATGATGTTGGTGCTTATTTCTTAACATAACATGCAGATTCCCTCTATTTATACACAATATAGTTTATGCAATCAAAGATTTCATAAATGACTATACATACTAAAAGTATGACACACATCAACACTGATGAATTATGTCACAATTTGAGTGAGTGAGTGAGTGATTGAGTGAGTATGGTTTTAAGCTGTTTTTAGCAATATTTCAGCAATATCACGACGTGGAACACCAGAAATGGGCTTCACACATTATACCAATGAGGGAATTGGAACCCAGATTTTTGGCGTGACGAATGAACGCTTTAACCACAAGGCTACCCCACCGCCCTGACACAAGTTCAACAAATATATATTTTATAAACGATTACTGAATGTGAACTACAGAGCCATTGAGAATCCACAATACAGTATGACAAAGGATACTTACTTCTTTTTTCTTAGCTATTTTCTCTAAACCTGCATTACAGGCTATTTTCTTGACAAAATCTTTAGTGAGGTCTCCTATAGGAAACAAAGACCTCTGCAATGCACTCTGGGAGATTTGTGACAGAAAAAAGGTTTGGTCTTTGGTGTTGTCAGCAGCTGTCAACAGCTTCACCCCTGCAGATATAAAATATGTGGGTATGTGTCCAGGTTGGCACCTTCACTACTGCTGAAAAATGATATGTGTTTTTTTCTTCTTCTAAATCATTTATAAGGCACATCAACTCAGTTTTAAGGTGTATTTGCTCGTGACATGACGTCACATTTTCCAAACCAAGACGTCACTTTAATGGTGCTTATATTACATACTAAATAAGTGAAATAGAAAAGTCTTAAAAACACCCATGACACACAAAATGTCATTCATACTAACATCCATTATCGCAAAATGTTCAAACATGCTTCAAAGGTGATTTCAAGTCAGCTGCTGTTTCCAACACTTGACTACAGACTGATATGTTTTAGGTTCAGATCAGTGAAACTTGGGCAAAATCTGAAATTCTTTTGACTTGAAATTTACAGAAAAAGGACTCAGTCCATTGTGTATCACATTAATTAGTTATTCAGAACAGCAATCTCACAGGAAAATAGTAATGGTCTTGGCAATGTTGCTACATATTTTTAGTTTGTGTTTGCTGTTTATTATAGCTTCACTTCACAGTATTCTAACTATATGATGGTAGAATATAAATCATCAAATTTGGACAATGCACCCCAGTGATCAATAATGAGAGCCAAGATGCCATCTGGGTACGAAGACATGAAACCAGCCAAGTCAGCAATCCTGACCAACCGATGAACATGGCATCCTCTCACAACCAGAATGGCTTGCTGGGAACGTATTCTAAAGAGGACTGCCTACAAATGCCACTTTTAATTTCAGAAAACCTGCTGGAAGTCATTGAAAAAACAGATGAAAACCTAAAACATATTCTGACATGAAAGGAAGAGAGATGAGAGTCTAATTTTGGACAAATAGTTGTTTTATGAATGAAATTTTGGAGCACTTTGGGTTTTTTTGGCTACAGGATATTATCTGTTAAGTACAATGTGGTATAAAACTCTTGCTGTTACCTTTAGCTGGATCAACTGTTTCAAGGTCGTACCCACAGGATGTACGGGCATAGTGACCTGTTGCTATGGCGTCAGCTCCCAGTCTCTCAAAAGCATGTTTAAAGAAGGCATCAAATTTGATCACCTTGTTACACATGATGTCTGGATTTGGTGTTGTTCCGTTTTCATATCCTTTTATCAGTTCACTGGGATGATGATCAAATAAACATGTCATGATTAAATACAGCCAACCAGTCAACAAAATTATGATGCTGTTAGCATGAAATAATATCATATTCAAAATCAGTAAACTTTCAAGTCAACCATGACTAAAATTGTATCAAACAAGAATCTCTGCACTACATAAACTTGGGTTCCCATTCAAATTACAACACAGCCAGACACAAGAGCTTTGCATTTGAAAAAAGGTTATTAACCTCAAAATGAAGTACCAAAAAGGGAAGAAGAAATTAAACACATATAGAAAAGAAAATGATAAAGTTGAAAAATGAAACAGAAGCTTTTGTCCATCATTTACCAAAATGAGACAACTGAAAAATCTTTTCTCCACTAAGTTAAAAAAAAGATATGGTGTGTTTTAAATTATTAAACATATTTTCCATTTATTTTTGTTCTTATTTGTTTGTATGCGTTTTAGTAGATTGTTTTGTAAACAATCCACAGTACTATGTGCCTGCTTTTGGTAATGACACCTCATCACATCTGAAGTATGAACAAATTTGATCTGAGCCCAAGGTGACCATAACTCTGTGTAAACTTGATTTTCTACTTCAGTCACAATACTACATGGTAGAGGTGTGATGATATGGAAATGTCACGATACGATACATATTGCGATATCTTGGAACGATGCGATTCGATTTGATGCATATCACGATATGCTATCTTTAGTTATTTTCTTTACAAAAGTATATTTTGATAGCAAGAAACAGTGTAAACTTTTACATAACTGTCAATTTCTAGTGAACATTAACAATTTTAAGATCAATGATACATATCACGATACCAACAAAAGTATCAATATATTTATCGTCACATAGAGTATCACGATTATCGATACTACAATGTATCGTCACAGCTCTACTACATGGTACGTTTTACCCTGCAATTAGGGCTAATGATCTGCATGACTAGACTTCAAATTAAATTCTATTCTTGTCAATGGAAAACAGAGTGTAAGGGTTAGAAACCATTGGTCATATTATAATTGGCTTTACTCATTTAATACTACTGTTTTAATGCAAAAAATATTTTGTGTGTAATTGGTTTTCTGACTCTTAAGAACATCTGTTATTTTCTCAGTTATCACATGAACAACTGTAAAACATGTCACTAACTTATTCAAGAGAACTCTATCAGAAACACAAACCATCATCTGAGTATTTACTATGTCTCAGAGATGCAACCACCTCATTTATATCAGAGTTAACAATGCCGAACTAAAACAAATGACATCCAAGAACTTATATTCTGGTGATATTAGAAACAACTACTAGCCCCTTTGGATTTTCCCGCGGTTTGTTTCATTTTCCAAAATTCCAACCTAATGAATGACTTTATTGCAGTAGAGGGGCCACAGACCATTATACGGTGCATTGTACAATAGATACACATGTTGAGAGTGGCACAGTCGGCAGGTGGTATAATATTTATGGCTGAGTTGGTGACAGAAACGATCTACGTTTTTTCATTGCATTGCATTACATACTTCCCTAGACATTCAATGATGCATACATTATCTGATGCTAAAAGTAAATATCTTGGTAATAATGATTGTCTTAATTCGTTATAAAATGGGCACTGTAGAACAAAAAGTAATTCTGTTTCTACAGCTGGAACAATACATAGCAGACAAAAACTCCTACCTAAATACTCCATTCCAGTATTCCTTGACAAAGTTGACCTGGTGAAGTGGTATCTCGAGATGTTCACATATCATTTTGGCATCTTCAAAATCTGCATCAGCCAAACATTTTCCAGTCTCATTGGCCACATCCCAGTTCCTCATGAAGAGTCCATGAACATCATATCCTTGATATGAAAAATAACGCATCTCAATGATTGCCAGTGGTAAACAAAAATAAATTACCCACGAATCGGTCTACAGCCCAGATGAAAACTTTGGCTCAGGTTACTTACCTTGGCAAATTTGATATAATTTACTGTTTTCTTCAGTTATTTCACTCAACCTCGCTTCAGTGATCATTTGTCACAAGCAAACTTACTGACATGATAAAAACCACACCTTCCACTGAAAAAACAAAGCCAAATGACATCTAGTCGATGTTTTTTCTTACTATTTAGCTCAAGCTCACGTGGACGTATAATCGTTTTGAGTAATTCCATTACCTCTTTTCTTTAAAATAAGTGCCGCCATGGCACTGTCAACACCTCCAGACATTCCGACTATAACCTTCCGCACCATAAATCCTGGCATTTTCATATCTCTGTTAATTCTGACCACTTAAGATAACAAAATTTACATAGTTTCAACGGTTAACTTTTTAGCAGACGCCATGTCAGCTTCGGAACCACAGTTTGGACATAACGACACATTCTATTGGTTAATGTGATTATATTTATCCAATGGGAATCAGCGTAAGTAGAAATCTTTCTAGCCTGTAAAAGCAGTTTTCAATGGACAAAAATATGCCTAATAGTCCAATCAAGATGATCTTTGCGAAAAAGGGGCGTTAAATTGTTTCCCCGATAAAAGAGTTCACTTTTGCTAACGTTGTCTCCCGGAAATATCGTAAAATAGATGTTTATTATTGAAAACAGCACAATTAGCTCCACAAGAAAATAAGATTGATGATGAACGAAAGCAGTGATGGTGGAACTGTCGGACAGGAAGATGTTCATCGACTGCTCGAACATTTTTCTAAAACAACACACAAAGTTAGAGCAGGTGACATGAAGGTACGTTTCAGAAGTGAAAATGAAATGACGGTCGCTGACAGGGACGTTCTTGTTCAGACTGTTTTCGATTTAGTTGCAATGTACATTTTTATCATGAAGCATCAGCAGTAGGTTATATATGTTGGATAGCTTCCTTGTTCGGCTGAAGGGCTCAGGGTATCTGATGTCACTATATAAATTGGCACGATCATCACCTGAGAAGGTAATAATGTACAGTTTACTGGACACAGCTTACCATAGTACACAGTCGTACTTAATTGGCTGAGACAGCCGACTCAGGCTCTCACTTCATAGATCTTGAGTGACTCTTCGATCATCTTTTATTAGCATCAGTTTTGGTACTCTTTGTTATCTCCACCTCAGTGCTTAGCCCATGGATCCCCTTTCTGATCAACCACACCTTTGTGATTATTATGTTTAAAATAAATAAACCTTTCTGTTAAACATCCCATCCCATTCCTCTTGCTTGGTATCCCTGTATGATCCCAAGGGTTAGTAGTAAGGTTGAGTGTTGGTTAGTTGTCTTTAATTAATTGATTCTATATCCTCGTTCTGGTTTTTCGAGACTGCCTCCGTGGTGTTGTGGTTAGAGCGTCCGCCCGAAGTGCGGAAGGTCGCGGGTTCGATCCCCGACCGCGTCATACCAAAAGACGTTAAAATATGGTACTTGTTGGTTCCTGCCTGGCGCATGGCATTAATGGGTACAACAAGGACTGGAGTGACTGGTCGTCTCGGAGTCAGTATAATGTGTCTGAGTGGGGTATTCATGCTTCACTACGGCTTGGTATCTCAGTGGGCTAGCACTATAAAACCAGCTTAAGTCTGGGCTAGTACAAGCAGCCACACATACACATACACACGCATGCACGTCGTCATATGAGCGAAATATTCTCAAGCACGACGTTAAACCCAATTTCACCTCACCTCACCTCACCTCACCTCACCTCACCTCACCTCTGGTTTTTCGGATGCTTTAAGATATCCATGTTTTCTCCATTATTGCATGTACATTTGTATAACACATGCCACCATCTGAGTTTCACAATGCTCATGTGACACAACACACCATGCTATAATAAAAGTGAACATTGCTGTCTGGAAACGTAAGTTGTCTGATAACATTAACTGATGATAATGTGTGGAAACTCCATGCAATTTTATCAAGTTTGAACTTCCATGAAGAAAATGGCAATTGTGCATGTGAAGAAACAATCAGGTGCTGATGGCTTTGTAAAACGAGCACTAATTATTTGTCATAGTGTCTGTGGTCTAGAGATAAGGGTTTGTTTGGCTAATTAGATATACTTCCTAGCTTAGCTTAGCTTAACGCTAGCAATATGAGTTTGATCCTCGGCATGGCCAAAACTGGAAATAAATAAACAAACTATCACTGATAAATAGTAGCATGGATGAGGCCTGTGTACTCAAACCACTGCTTAAACAGCTGCAGGTGTATGAATTTACTGCAGATGAATATGTTCTTGTGTGTTCTGAAGATTGTTACTGATACACAGACAATATGAATTAAAGGTTGTTGGCAGTGATTTGGTATCAAACAGAATCATATGCAAGATTCGTTGGTTTCCAGTTCCCTTTTGGTGAAGCAATTGTCCAACTGATCATTCTGATCATGATAACAGCATTCAAAATATCTCATAATTCTGTGAGAGTTGAACTTTTAACCAGATAAGTATTCAGTATTCTCACTGGTAATATTGTAGGTGCGGTGGGGTAACCCAGTGGTTAAAATGTTTGCTTGTCATGCTGAATACCCGGGTTCAATTTCCCACATGGATACATTGTGTGTGAAGCCCATTTCTAGTGTCCCCTGCCATGATATTGCTGTAATATTGTTAAAAGCAACGTCAAACTATACTCACATCAGCAGCACATGTAACAACAACAAGATGACCATCAACAAGTAAAGTAGTACAACAACCAAAGTGATGGGAAAATAGATTTTTCATTCCAGTATACATGTATCTTATTTGATACTTCAGTGACAGGAAAATAATTCAGACTCAACCATTAGTCATTAGCCTTGTTCGAGTGGCTTTTTGGAAGTTGGGAAGAACCATGACAACTTCTATGGAGAACAACTTCTTCTATTTTGTGATTGTGACATTTTGATGCAGATTCTTGTACCATTGTGAAGCAGGAATGTTGACAGCTGAACAACAGTTGAAATTGTTATCCATGTTATTTGTCATAATATCATTAGCCATTCCCTTGTTAAAACACTTCCTAATGTTTGTTGCTTTGTTTGTGATTATTTGTAAAATCATGGAAAACTGTCATATGCATAATACCATGGAGCAGACCATTAACGCTTTCCTTACATGGTGATGCATTGTGAGTGTATAATATTATAATGTATAGTAATAGCAGTCGGAAAGGCAACATGCATGAATATTTGGTCATGTTGATTATCAATGGTATTTGGTATTCTTTCTTCTTAAACATAATACCAAAATGATAAAAGTACTCAAGTTTCTTTTGTTGGAATGGGTATGTCAGCTCTTTGTGCTGCAGAAAAAATTCTAAAAACTGACAGGTCTTTAGTTTAAATAGTCCTATAATCATTATGAAGCCACTAAGTGCCATACTCTCAGCATTTGGGTTTGAATTCCAGATTGCCCTCAGTCCCCAAGACTACTAGAATTTGTACTTTAGTAAAAAGTATAATCCTATATGCAGAGGTACAGATTAGCTGCATATCTGCGTAAATTACGCAAACATTTATGTGAAAACTCAATTCTTACCAAGTCTGTTGCGTACAAGTACACTTGAATTTTTGTAAATACTCAATATATTTGATCAGCATACACACAAAAATGTCAAATCTTTGTTTGCCTACCAGTGCATAGATAAAATAACTGAGGTACATTGAGAGGTTCTATTTCAACACATGAACTAGGCAACTTGCAGTCTTTTTCATATTTCCTCATATTACAAATCCAATATGAATAACATTTAAACATCATTATATTTTTACAATTAATGGAAAATGACAAAATACCCAATGGAGTTTGAGTGAGGAGGGTACAATTTATTTGGTTACTTTAAGGAAAATTAGGATACCCAATTGAGATGAACACAAGCGAGTACATACATGATTCTTGGTCGATTCTTGCTGTATTCACTATGATGCATCCTGATGTTTTTATTTCCTGTACTACTTTCCTGATGACACCGCATCAGCCAGGAAATTTGTGTGAGGTTTGAAACTGACACATGCTTCATCATGACCATCATTTTAGTAGGTCAAGGTTTAGGAACAATGTGGTGATGGAGCCCACAGACCCGATTTTACCCAGAGGTGGTCAAATATATCTGAATCTTTTACCCCAGCAAGGAATCATAATATAACTGTATAGTTGATATTATGATAAGGTCTTCAAGTGGCATTTAGAAGTGATGCACATAAGGATGAGAGTTTTATGGATGTCAACTTGTATATTATATGGAACACAATGCTTAAGAGTACATGTATATCCTTACTCCTTTATCAGGTGAATGCGGTACAATGTGTGAAGTCCATTTCAGGTGTCCCCCGCTGTGATGTTGCTGGAATATTGCTAAAATTGTGTAAAACTAAACTCAGTCAGTCATCAGGTGAATGAATGCTATGAGGCAGATAACATATATGTACACGTAAGGCCTAAAAAAAAAATGATGTGGTTCGAGTCCCGACCGACCCTTGAATTCAGGTGCCCACCCTATTTTTTATTTAAGAGGTATGGATAAAATAGGCTTTCAGATACCATTATTTTTTTCCGGCATTGACAGACATCGGTCATTGTGATAGAGAAAGTCGACATGATGGCCGTAAGTTTGATTGAATAAACAATTACACATTGATAAATGTGTTATTAGTCGACACTTTACTTCTTAAAATAAATGTAAAAAAGAAAAGAAAAATCCTACCTACCTACCCTAAATTTTAAAGAGGTGTAATCGAGACCAAAACATTTGTTTTATTTGGCCTAAGAACAACAAATGTAATAAGACAACTAAGATGCAGGCTAAACAAGGGAAGCCAACAATTAACTGACGCTGCTAGATGATTGGCAAAGGGTAAATGGAAGCCAACACTTAACAGTTAATTAAGCTGAATAGACATGTACATGTATGTGCTATCTGCCTCACAGCATTCATTCACCTGATGAAGGAGTAAGGATATACTCTGAAACATTGTGTTACTCATAATAAAGACTGACTGAGTTTGGTTTTACATGGCTTTTAGCAATATTCCAGCAACATCATGGCGGGGACACCAGAAATGGGCTTCACACATTGTACCCATGGGGGATTCGAACCGGGTCTTCGGTGACGAGCCAGCGCTTTGACCACTAGGCTACCCCACCACCCCTTCATAATAAAGAAGTAGACATCCATAAAACTCTCTTCCTTATGTATAGTTGCTAGTTATAACTACAAGACGTGATGTTACCAATAAGTTAAACATGTTACCATGGGAACATACCCAGACAAGATACATGGCCATGAAAGCAACACATTCAGGTAACATTGTCTGTAACTAGCCTTATGAACTATAGGCTCTTTTCTTAAATGTCTTTTACAGTGGTCCGATGTAACATATGTTATAGATTGCCCTTGCTCAGTAAAGTACTGATTCTAATGCCTTTGGGTTGAGTCCTATCCAGGTTTCAAACCCACACTCTCATGGCCAGGCACCTAATCGCCAGCACACAAAGTCAGTGATTGCCATGATAAGCCAGTTCCAGTCTAACAATAACTGTATTAAGCATATCTTAACATGTAACCATTCGACATGTTCTACTGCCATTTACTCATAAATACATTAGTCAGTCCAGTCAGTCACTACTTTCAACCAAATGATTTTGTCTTCTTTCAGGGGGACACTGTAAATGAAACATGCTTGATGTTATTTGCCAAGGAGTACAGGTATTCTGTAAGTATCTAGAGTAATTCTGAAGAATATCTTTTCTCATTTCTCCAATTGCTTCATTCCTATTTATTGTATAATTGCACAGAACACATCAGTTAGATGATAACTGTATCCACTTTGGGGACTGACAGGCATCATCCGAGCCTGACCAACTGATCCTGTGTGTAAGCTCTCATGACAGGCAGAGGTTGGGGGCCAGTGTGTCATACAGACTCAGAAACAAATATATCCAATGCAGCCCATGCAAGTCTAGAACATGTGGCAAGTCTAGATTACCACAGTTTCAGTCTGAAAATGAAGAAAGTCTCAGGACTCCTTTTCATTATATATTATGATTTTGATTTAGGAAATGTTTGTATGTGATATGTTCATTTCATAGACTAGATGACAGGTTAAGGGCCTGTTTTCACACTTTGATCTTAGTTGGTCAATCCCCGGAAGTTATGGTGATTGTTGTGATGCACATGTTGTAGATCATCCCCAACTTCAGTGGCGAGCTGTGCGCACATTACCCAGGGAAGATCATCTTGATGGAGTACGAGAACCAGAAGGACTGTCCAGCCCGTCAAGATGATAAGTAAGCTGGCTGTGTTATACGCGAGTCTACTAGCCCAAACATGGCACTGAAGCTTTAGTTTTTGTGTTTGAGTGTCATGTGGACCATCATTGTCTCAGATGACCTGATGACACTGTTTACTTGACTAGGGCTTCAGGCTATTGGTTCAGGCCACAGCAGACTGAGCATGGCTAGGAATGTATCAGGCACTTCTTGTTGTATAGGGACCAGAAGTTACAATTTGAATAAGAGCAGTTCTGATAAATGTGGGGCGGTGGGGTAGCCTAGTGGGTAAAGTGTTGGCTTGTCACGCCGAAAACCCGGGTTCGATTCCCCACTTGGGTACAATGTGTGAAGCCCGTTTCTGGTGTCCCCCGCCGTGATATTGCTGGAATATTGCTAAAAGCGGCGTAAAACCAAACTCACTCACTCACTCTGATAAATGTGATTCTGAAATATCTGTCAGCTTGTTCAAGTGAAGAAAACAATGCTTTGACTAAATCAGTCAGCTTTCAAGTAAATGTTTAATAAATATAAGTTATTTAGGTGTTTATCATGCACTAAATATATATATTCTGAAATCCCAAATTCGGATATATATATGTTTAACTGGACTAGCCTTGTGGGTTAGTTAGCTTTGTCAAATGTATTTAGGGATGAGTGTGGATTTTTGCTGCATTTAGCAGTATCCAAGCACTATCACAGTGGGGGACACCAGAAATGGGGTTTGCACATTGTATCCATGTGGGGAATCGAAACCAGAACTTCAGAGTGATAAGTAAATACTTTAACCACTATGTGACCTGACCACCCCAAAAATATTTTTAAGATAATAAGATCTTTAATTATGCATGAGATGAAATGACAACTTGTACTTGCATAAACTTTTCTCAAAGGCACAAAATATTATCAAACAAAATGGTGTAAAAACCTTATTGCTTGGTTTGTCAAATTTGGTTATCAAAGCATGGTTACTTCTGTTACAGAAATATATTTCTATGCAGATTTGTTATTCTAATCAATGATGACCTATTTCTAGTGTTGAGAGCATCTTCGACCTGTCAAAACTGAGGGATCTGTCGAAACAGGCAAGATTTGCTCGATGTAGATCCCGCTTTGTGGTACCTGTCATTCTGTTTGAGGGAAAGGTGAGTCTAGTCCTTGTCCTGTGAGTCTAGTCCTTGTCCAGGGTGTCTAGTCCTTGTCCAGTGTTTAGTACTTGTCCTGGGTGTCTAGTCCATGTCCAGGGTGTGTAGTCCTTGTCCTGTGAGTCTAGTCCTTGTCCAGGGTGTCTAGTCCTTGTCCAGTGTCTAGTACTTGTCCTGGGTGTCTAGTCCAGTGTCTAGTCCAGGGTGTCTAGTTGTCCTGTGAGTCTAGTCCTTGTCCAGGGTGTTCTGGGTGTAGTCCTTGTCCAGTGTCTAGTCCTTGTCCTGGGTGAGTCTAGTCCTTGTCCTGGGTGTGTCTAGTCCTTGTCCTGGGTGAGTCTAGTCCTTGTCCTGGGTGTCTAGTCCTTGTCCTGGTGTAGTCCTTGTCCTGAGTGTCCTAGTCTAGTCCTTGTCCTCAAGTCCTTGTCCTGGGTGTCTAGTCCTTGTCCAGGGTGTCTAGTCCTTGTCCAGGGTGTCTAGTCCTTGTCCAGGGTGCCTAGTCCTTGTCCCTTGTCCTTGTCTAGTCCTTGTCAGGGTGAGTCTAGTCCTTGTCCAGGGTGTGAGTCTAGTCCTTGTCCTGTGAGTCTTGTCCTTGTGTGTCTAGTCCTTGTCCTGGGTGTCTAGTCTTTGTCCTGTCTAGGTGTCTAGTCTAGTCCTTGTCCAGTGGTCCTTGTCTAGTCCTTGTCCTGTGTGTCTGTCCTAGTCCTCTAGTGAGGGTCCTTGTCCTGAGTCCTTGTCTAGTCCTGTGAGTCTAGTCCTGTCCTGGGTGAGTCTAGTCCTTGTCCTGTAGAGTCTAGTCCTTGTCCTGGGTGTCTAGTCCTTGTCCAGGGTGTCAAGTCCTTGTCCTGGGTGTCTAGTCCTTGTCCTGGATGTCAGTCCTTGATGTCTAGTCCTGTGAGTCCTGTAGAGTCCTTGTCCTGGGTGTCAAGTCCTTGTCCTGAGTGAGTGGTCCTTGTCCAGTGACCACCTTGTCCTGGGTGATGTACTTTGGGACAATACTCTCTGTCATAATCCAGGGATCATATTGGAACGCACCTTTACGCCTTATGCACTTATGAAGTATGAAATAGTGCATTGAAATGGGCCCTTATGTCCCTCAAATGTCATCATTTAATTTTACAAATTCAAAACCTCCACCAATGGAATGGTGCTCCCTCCTATAACCTCCCCTGACAACATTGTGGTTGATACCCTGTTGGGACACCAGGTGATAGGACACACGGCCCACGTATATCCAACCGTATGGGCCAAGGACTCTCATCAAATACATCCAAAATAATCCTGTTTAATATGATACATGTCTCAATAGGAAGGCCAGCATGGTTATAATATGATCTTGCCTGAACTTTGTACACACATCAGACTCTGACTGAAGTGTAGGAAACTTGTGAAATGTTTGTTTGTTTATGTCACAGCACATCTGTAGATCGGCTACTCTCTCAAGTGGAGCTGAGATGTACGGCAGATCAGGATTCGATTTCTTTTTCTCAGGTTTGTACAAAGGGCATATAGTTGCAAGTTTGTTATTAAGGTCAAAGAGCTGGTATTATCAAGGCCTGTTCAGTGGCTAGTATGTAGCTCAAGTCTGCAGTAAAATTCCAATTTGAATTTAAATTACCTGATTTCTTGGTACTTACGAAAAGGAAGGACATTTATAAAGACAACAAATTTTGGACAATATAACTGTTTTTTTCCAAATTTGCCAGACAATGGCACAGGTTGGAATCCTTGATAAATCTTCAGAGAGATCAATTGCTCAATGAACGCCAACTGTCATGTTATTTATAAATTCTTCTTAGACTGTTGCAGATATCTAGTGCAAACTAAAACAGCGTTATTTAAACAGAAATATTGAAAAATGTTTACCCATTGGTGTGAAAATAACCAGCAGACTGGACCCAAGAGAGTTAAAACAAATTCAAATGTGTATTGGCCAAAACATTGTACAGCCAAGGTATCTGCATAGTATTATGTATTGCGATATATTGTGAGCTGAAGTGTTCAACAGTGACACTGCGCATGCAGGTCCAAATTTTGATAGAGAAATCTTTTAAATAATAGAGAGTATCATCTGAGGAATGCATTGCTGTATATTTTGATGCAGCAGATAGGCAAAGAAAACTGGCATAAGCCAATGTGAAGATTAAGCTGTAAGAAGTACTCACTGCACAAACATTATCAAGGCTAGTGTCAGTTTATGAAATAAGGCTCGTCAAACCAGAACTTTGATCAAATAAACGCTTAACTCTGCTGAATCTTTAAAGAATCTGGTCCCCCTTAAAGATGAATCAAGAGTGAAAGAGAATCATGTTTTTGGTTGTTTCATACATGTTTATGATATGACCAGAGCTATTATAGTGATACTTTCTCGTTTCAGGAGGAGAGAGCTTCCCAGTGACTAATGGGGAAGAACCTGATGATCAGGGGTAGGGTTCATATTTTTGACGTTTTACTGAAATAAAGCTGTTGTACTCAGGGGTATTGGTTGTGTGATACTGGAACTTGCTTACCAGAGTTGCTTCCCCTTGATGTGTACTGATGTAGATGTGAATTTATGTGGTCTGCAGCAAATGGTTGACGTGGAAGTCTCTAAGGCAGATGTCCTCAAGAGTTGTGTCCCTTTAACTATGAAAGACCAAACTCCTCACAGTGATTGCCCATTAAAGGAGCTCTCTATACTATCGTTGCCAACAGCCAGCTCCCCACTGGACAGCCAGAACCATGAACTTACTGATATGTAGACAAAAAAGTGATGGTTGTTGTGATGGTTATACTCTTCCCCTGTTTAAATTGTTTTGTTTCTTTGTCAGTTCAGAATTGGTTCATTTCAAAGGTCACATAGATGTAATGTTGAGTTCTTTCCCTTTAGTCTTTTATCACAAACCAATCTGATGAAACAAACAAATGTAAATTACAAATCAGTTGTATGTTTTTCCAATTCACAAATATGGGATTCACACACACACACACACACACACACACACACACACACACACACACACACACACACACACACACACACACACACACACACACACACACACACACACACACACACACACACACACACACACATATAAAACTATATTTGTGAGTACATGTGAGAATTGAGAATTTTTATACACTGGTATAAAGGGCAGAAAATGAAGAGTGATAGAGTGAGTTGGGTTTTACGCCGCTTATTTAGCAATATTCAAGCAATATCACAGCGGGGAACACCAGAAAGGGGCTTCACACATTGTGCCCATGTGAGGAATTGAACCCAGGCCTTCGGCGTGATGAGCGAACGCTTTAACCACGAGCCAGCCCACCGCCCCAGCAATAAGAAAATGTCTGGGTAGATCTTGATGATAGCCAAACCAATACAACCCCAGAAGATGCTTTGATATTTGAGTGAGGTTAGTTTCACGCCGCTTTCAGCAATATTCCAGCAATATTGCAGCAGGGGACACCAGAAATGGGCTTCACACATTGTACCCATGTGGGGAATCGAACCTGAAAGCGAGCGAACGCTAAAACCATTAGGCTGCCCCACTTGATATTTGAAGATGTACAGCCAAGTTTTGTTTAGTAACTATAGGCAGTCTGTCTTGGGCACAGCCCTAAAATTCTAGACCTTTCACTTGTTCTGAGTAGGATGTAACACATATTTTAGTTTTCAGAGACATCATGAATACTTATAATTTTGATTGCTTTTGTTTAAAGAATTACATGTTCTTTTCCTGGTTTTCTGTAATATCAACAATCTTTTATGTGTTTACCAGTAATTACTAATCTGTAAATGAAAGTACAGTGGAAGCTGTCAAAACCGGCAGCTGTCCAATCCGGTAACTTGTCAACACAGGCATAAAATCTCAGTCCTGTCTGTGGCTAGTACATTTATTGTCATTTGAAAGCTCTGCAATCTGGCAGCTCTCATTTCCCGGATCTAGGCAGGAAATGAGCCGCACGAATGTGTGTTTATTCAGTAATCAGTGGTGTCTAATCGTGGCTAGGATTCGGCCAGATGTTGAAATAGCACACGTCATTTAATATGGTCATTTAATAAACTTTCAGGACAAAAGTCCTCTGGATCTGCTTATGTCTTAGTCAGTTAGCTCATTTCTAGTTGTATGCTATCGTGTCAGCTCTACAATCCGGGAACGCTGTCTAAACCAGATTATTTCTTCAGTCCCAACAAGTGCTGATGTAGACAGCTTCCACTGTATTGCTTACACATATTTGGTTTGAAGTTCTATTTATATGTTTGCTTTTTAACTTGCAACAAAGTTTCACTAATCTGTGTTGTTTACAGAGGTGGTCAGTTGTTTGACCGGTTCCGTGGTCAGGACAAGAAGTTGTTGAAGTGCCTGGATGTGGGCTACATCTGTGATCTCATGGTGGAGAAGAAGAAAGTCAAGTTCGGCATGAAGTAAGATCATGGAGTTTAATTTTCAAAAGCAACAGAAATATGAGGATAGATCCAGGGTATGTGTGAGGTACACAAACCCTTCCGACATCTGGCATGTCAGCCTGTAGGAGTCACTCAGACATGGAGAAATGGCTGTGTACTTTATGTCACAAGTTGTGTTTCCTCCTTTTCAAAGTCCCTGATCAATCTCTGGAAACATTTGGCTTGTGTATTTATGTTAGAGAGTCATTCAGTCCAAGGGAGACTGGGGCTGTAGGATAGCCTAGTGGTTAAAGTGTTTGCTTGCCATTTGGAGACTCAGGTTCAGTGCCCAGTGTGGGTACAATGGGAACCATTAAGAATGTTGTGTACCAATATTTGCTAACTCACTCCTCGGTGATGCTGAAATCAGTTCATTTCTTTCAATCAGATATTAATTTAAGGAAACTTTAAAATTTGTAATTCACTTTTTGTTACTTTCATGTTCATCTTGATACTGAGCTCTTCATTAGCCCAAAGTTTTTCGTGTCATGGATCTTACTACTGATTGTGCAACATTAACAGTTGACATCAGATCTGGGTTAGAAATTGTCCATATTATTATTCGCAGACTCCCCACATATAGCTTGAAAAAACAAACCTACAGACCTTTAACAGTGCCTACACAATAGCTTGATGACAGGGATTTCTCTATGCGATATTAGCAACCTATATTCAGGCCAAGGTCAGCAGCTAATGTTGCTAACAATGTTCAGTTATGTTAACTTGCACATGGATCTCTGATTCTGATTGGCTGACACTCATTCTGTTATTTTCAATGTACCTCCCTACCAGTAAGGTATGGTATATTTCTTATGTTACCTTCCTCAATCACTTAACTGTGAGCATTACATTTGCAGCATACCAATGAAGCTTGTAGCTAGAATTATTGACGCCATTCTCAGGGTGACATTATCCTAAGGGGAATAACTGAGTTTGTTTTCAATTGCCTGCTACTTTTTGAAAAATTTGAAAAATGAACAAAGTGGATAAATGCCAAACTGTGCCATTGTTATCGATTCTAACGAAAACATGCACTTATAAGACAATACGTTCAGGTGTGTGGTGACATACAACCATTGTCCTTCCGTCCACATGTACCTGCTAAGTCAGTTTATGTTCTAGCAAGTATGTTCGGGCTCAGGGAGCATAAACAAACATCGAGGGTACATCAACCCATGTCCCCTTCGAGACCAGTGAACAACGTATTTATCTTACCGAACACTTTAATGTTAATTTTTAATGTTTGAAGCATGGGTACAAATCTTTTTTTTAAGAAATTGTCCATATAATTATTCGCAGATTTTCATCGCTAGATTTTGCTTACAAGAAAAACAGATTTAGAGTTATCTCCCATCCATCGATTCACATTCGCAAAACATCAGTAATTTCCGTACATCATATGTGATTCAATGTTATTCGAGATAAAGAATTACTACCACAAAGTACCAAATGAGTTGCCATTGACAGTGGGGTACATTGAAATGTTACTCGCTTGTAAGCGGGGTAAATTGAAATTAATAGAAGAGCGCTCAGCCAATCAGAAAGCGACATTTATGTGTGAGGTAAGATAATAATTCTTGTCCCCCTCGAGATAAGTGGAAACCTTATCATCACTGAATGCTATGTTAAAATATGGCTGCCTTACAGGAATTTGTCTTGTTCTTCACCTGACCGGAAAAGATGGTTTAAGATCATGGATATATGAATACTGGCAGTATGGTGTGTTTTGTTGCAGTTATTGTGGTTACCTGTCGATTTCTGATACTCACTCCACATGTTATGTTTCAGTATCACATCGTCAGAGAAAGTAGACAAAGAAAACCGATATGCTGACTTCTGTATCCTCTCAGTCCCCTACCCAGGTCAGTGATGAGTGAGTGAGTGAGTGAATGTGTGTGTGGTTTCTCTGTGTGTGTGGTTTCTCTGTGTGCTCTGTGTGTGGTTTCTCTGTGTGCTCTGTGTGTGGTTTCTCTGTGTGTGTGTGTGGATTCTCTCTGTGTGGTTTCTCTGTGTGTGTGGTTTCTCCGTGTGCTCTGTGTGTGGTTTCTCTGTGTGTGTGTGTGTGTGTGGATTCTCTCTCTGTGTGGTTTCTGTGTGTGTGTGGTTTCTCCGTGTGCTCTGTGTGTGGTTTCTCTCTGTGTGTGTGTGTGTGGATTCTCTCTCTGTGTGGTTTCTCTGTGTGTGTGGTTTCTCTGTGTGCTCTGTGTGTGGTTTCTCTGTGTGTGTGTGTGTGTGTGTGGATTCTCTCTCTGTGTGGTTTCTGTGTGTGTGTGTGTGGATTCTCTCTGTGTGTGGTTTCTGTGTGTGTGTGGTTTCTCCGTGTGCTCTGTGTGTGTGGTTTCTCCGTGTGCTCTGTGTGTGGTTTCTCTGTGTGTGTGTGTGTGTGTGTGTGTGGATTCTCTCTCTGTGTGGTTTCTGTGTGTGTGTGTGTGTGTGGATTCTCTCTCTGTGTGGTTTCTGTGTGTGTGTGGTTTCTCTGTGTGCTCTGTGTGTGTGGTTTCTCTGTGTGTGGTTTCTCTGTGTGTGTGGTTTCTCTGTGTGCTCTGTGTGTGTGGTTTCTTTGTGTGTGTGTGGTTTCTCTGTGTGTGTGGGAGAGAGAGAGAGAGAGAGAGATATTAAATTAAATATTTTGTTAGCCTTGAAGATTGTCAACATTGCCCTAATTTGAAATGTCAAAACAGGCCTTATATAGTGTGACTCAAGCTTTGTATTAACCTGTAAGTGAAAAACGTCTCACCACAAGGCTAGCCATGACTTGGTGTCTTATTTGCAGGTTGTGAGTTTTTCAAAGAGTGGAAGGAGAAGTCGAGTGCCGGGCAGACCATCTGGTATGACTGGAGCCAGGTAAACAGTTAACTTATGTTTTAGGGAACACTCAACTTTCTTGCTATTTTCACTGACACTGTTCCACTAAATTGTGTTGAGGTCAAATAAATGGCATTCCTTGTTGACCAGTAGCATTTGAGGGCTGCAAGTCTGAACCTTTTCTCAAGGCTTCAGGTTTTTCGGTTCGTTGAAACGGAGTAAAACTTGAATCTTGGAAATTCCTGACTTTGCAAAACAATTAAACCCGAGAAGGCAACCCACACAATGTCGGTTTCTGAGAATTGTTTTTGATTTTCAGGGTTTCAATGATGCAGCCCTGGACATCCCATCGACACCATTACTGTCTCAACTACCGTTTGACTGGTCCAAGTACAGAGTGAGTTTCAAATTTAGGGAGGTCGGACAAATGTAGACATTGTTTCCTAATGTGAGAATTTATGGATGACAGCTTCTTTATTTTGAGCAACACGTTTCCGAGTAGATTCATTAAATAATGTCAGTAATATTGAGGTTTTCTTGGTTCTCACACACCTGATGTATGTGTGTAATGTACATGGTGTAACATCTATAATTCTCTCTACAGCATTGGGATTTGGTCCAGTTGACCCAAAACTACCTGAAGTTACTGCTTCATATAATTGGAGAGGGTAAGTTACATGTATTTATACTCTCTGTGTTGGTATCCTTGCTCATTCATTCAATCTCACTATGGGCCTGCAACCCATGCTTATCCTGAGAGGCGACTAACAGGATCGGGTGGTCAGGCTCATTGACTTGGTTGACACATGTAATCGTATCCCAATTACTGGTAGATGGATGCTCGTGCTGTTGATTGCAGACTGGATTATTTACAAACCATTGCCTTATAACTGGAATATTGCTGAGTGATGCTAAAGCAAACCTTTCATATGACAAATAGCATGCATGAAAAGCATATTCACTCTGTTTGGCAGGGAGATTCTTGTGAGGTTTTCTGGCTATTCTTATGACAGAAGCATGATTATGTTAGCAGTGAATGGGTACCTGATGGGATGGGATTGTAGTGTGACTGTTAGTCTTGTACAGCCTCACAGGCAGTATTGGTTCTACACTTCCCAGGGGAGCTGAAAATGAAAATGAAATGCACCCTAATCCATTGTTCATGATAGTTATATTATAAAGCACCTGTGAACTGCCTGCCTGAAACTTTGCATTATAATGTGTAGCAATATATGCTGTGTAGAGTGTGCCTTTTCGGGTTTTGAAACCTGATGAGTTCAGTCTGAGGTGCCAGAGGTGATGTCTGGAACTTCTGGCTTTCACCCTGTGTGAAATTAAATTGTTGTGATATAACTGAGTTTGTAGCCACATTTGACCCAATAACCTGCTTCAGGTCTACCTTCCCACCTACCTCCCTGGAGTAGTAGAGTTCTTGTTCGTTTCCCTGGCCATGTCATTCAAAAGTGGGTGGTGGGGTAGAATGTGTGAAACGTATTTCTGGTGTCCCCCGCTGTGATATTGCTGGAATATTGATAAAAGCAACATAATACCATACTCACTCACTCACACATTCACAAGACATGAAACTAAGTACTTGTTGTTCTCCTGCCTGGCTGACCTTTATGGGAGAAAACAAGAACCTGCAAGCTCAAATTCAGGATGCTGTGTCTGAGTAGAGTTATAATTATTGCAAGGTGTCTCAGTCACACACTCTCTCATAAATCTGCAGTAGCATTTATTAAGGCTTTACATGGTGTGGCTGTCAGGGATTTACCTTGAGTCCTGTATTTGAGGTTCCCACGACTCATACATTAACTTTCAGGGGTCCTGGACAACAAAATGAGGGTCCTAGACACTTTGATATTATTAATACTGTTATTGTATTGTGTATCATGATGATCACATTGTTAGTTACAGTAATTAAATTGCGAATGATACCTTTAACCCAGCTAATAGTAAATAATAATAATAATATTGCTAATTTTTGCGCCTAGAATCCAACACAATGCTGCTCTCTGACGTTACATTATTACCCTGACGGAATTGTACTTTCAAAGTCGCTACTAAGCGCTTTGCGCGACCGTATAGGTCCGTACATCCCTTTCTCAGTTACCCATTTTGAACAGCTGGGTGGACTGAGTGCAATGTGGACAAAGTGCCTTGCTAAGGGACACAACACAGTATGAGACCTAGGTCACAAATTTTGGTGTCTCCACCGGGATTTGAACCCGGGCCTTTGGTGTGAGAGGCCAGCATGCTAACCACTACACCACTGTGCTCCACAAGTAGCAAACCTAGTGATAACTTATTGTCACTTGATTGGAATTTTTACAAAAAGTATTTGGTCTCTTTCTGAGACTGGGACTTTCTGAGTCCCTGTGGACGCGCTAATAAATTTTATTGCGTCCATTGTAAATTTTTATGCGTATAGGATGCAGGAATCGGGTCCTGTAAATCCCTGGCTGTGATATGAGTGTGATAACCCTATTAATCCCCCTTCCTCTGTGTTCTTCAGGAGATTCTGGCCTGCTCGTCCACTGTATCTCCGGCTGGGACAGAACACCTCTCTTTGTCTCACTACTCCGTCTTTCATTGTGGGCCGATGGCTCCATCCACAAGACCCTTAGTCCCGTGGAGATACTGTATCTCACACTAGGCTATGACTGGTATCTGTTTGGGTGAGTGCCTTTGCAAAGTATTTTGATTGTACACTTATCATGTTGATTGTAATAGTTTCAGCTTGAACACATTATTTCTACAAAACAGATGCTATATCTATGTACAGTGGAAGCTGTCTAAACCAGCACTCTTGGGGACTGAAGAAATAATTCGGTTTAGACACCGTGGCAGATTGTAGAGCTGACACGGTTACCTACGACTAGAACTGAACCAGTTTTGTCACTCTGATATACAGTGTTGTATCACAGTAAAACATGCATGATTAATTGGTGACAATACACGTCCGGCTGACTCCTCGCCATGCGCCGGATTAGACAGCGCTGATTACTGTCACATATTCAGGCGGCTCATTTCATGCCAAGATCCGGAAATTGACAGCTACCGGATTGCATGATGATAAATGTACTAGCCACGGACAGGACTGAGATTTTATGACGGTGTTGACAACTTGCCGGACAGCTGCCGGTTTTGACAGCTTCCACTGTATGTAGCTCCTGAAGAAATTCATACACTGATGAAAGAAACATTTAATTGCCGGTTGTGTCCTACCAAAGCATGTCAAAATATGGCACTTGTTGTTACGCTGCCTGGTGCTTGACATTACAGGGATAAAACTTGGACCTGAGAAAAGTAATTACTGGTCCATAACAGTTGTATGGTGCATACCGTCATTGATACAGCACAATATGAATGTGCATTAGTTCTTCTTTTCTTCTTCTTCAACATCAACATCATCATCATCATCATCATCATCATCATCATCATCATCATCTTTATAACATTGGGCCATGAAGATCCGGGTTAAAATTGATCTTCAGTAATCCATACTTGTCGTAAGAGGCGACTAACGGGATCGGGTGGTCAGGCTCACTGACTTGGTTGACACATGTCATTGTATCCCAATTGTGTAGATCGATGCTTATGCTGTTGATCACTGGATTGTCTGTTCCAAACTCGATTATTTACAGACCGCCACCATACAGCTGGAATATTGCTGAGTGCGGCTTAAAACTAAACCCACCCACCACCCACACTTAATAACATTGAAATGTTTTGTTTCAGTCACAATTTAAGTGATAGGCTGAGCAAGGGAGAAGAGGTAAGTGGTTGCAATATCAGACTGATTTGAGTGCTCGACTCTTGTGGGAAAATAATGGAACTGTAGAATCAGAGTCCTCTATTAACTCAGAAATGCAGGTCAGTGACCTTAGATGCCTATAGCTCAAAAGTATTAAAACTTTGAATAGCTTCTGTCACTGAAACACCCTTTTTACCTACTGTGTATATTTGTACAAATGTTTAATTGTATATCAGGGATTTATCTAAATGTTTGGCCCAAGGTCTGCTGCAAATGTTATTATCAATTCCCAAACTGGATTAAAAAAATGTCTTAGTGTCTATAATAACTTGTTTTGTTATTAATATAACCTGTATTTCACTGCTAAACCAGTAAAGGGGAAGAGGTTTTAATGCTTACTTTTCTGTTATTGCATTGAATGAAATCTCAGTAAGAACTGTTAAAACACAGCGAAATTTAAGAAAATAGAAGATTTTTTAGCTCAAAAGTTTGAACAAAATAACAATATTTTCAGTTTATCTGGTGGTTGATTAGTTTAAAATCCCAGTATGTACAACATGATAGTGTTGTACACCTCAGCTTTTAGTGGCACTTATATATATGTACTTGTCATTCGAAATACTTTTGTGATTTTTGAAGGAAAATTTGTATGAAATTACTTTCAGCTGGGGCTACCGCCATTTGTTACTGATACACGTTCCAAACAGTGGTACATGTAAAATCTATACAAGGGGAGATAACTGTGCCTTTCCCAAAACATAATTTGCTTATCTGTTACTAAAAATAGATTCTTATCTTATCAACAGCTATGTATCAAATAGCTGATTATCGGATTTACACAGAGTGTGCATTGTTTACATTCCATACGCATAAATGCAAAAATATATAGAAGGCAATGCTAATTAGTCCAAAATATTAGCATTCTTAAGTTGACAAAAAGGAAGGTTGTCCTAAGATTGTTCTTTAGACTAGATATGTCTTTCCCCCGGAGCAACTATGATTTAATATGCTAACATTGTTATTTTTTGTTTCAGATTTTATTTTTCTGCTTTAGCTTCCTTCATTATATAACATCAGAAGAGTTCTCAGTGAAAACAAAGTGAGTACTGTTTTATTGATTTAAACAAATTTTATTCATTGAAGAAAAGGATTGGGCACAAGTTATCCTTTTCTTCAATGAATAAAATATGTTTATTCTTTGATTCAAAGTTTCGGAATTGATTACTTATCCCGACTCTGTATGCTTATCTCTCCCTTAACCAGAGTCATGGTGTAACCATTCTTTGTTATGTTTTCCCAAGAACAGTAAAAACATCTCCCCCCAAACGCACCCTTCTACCACGCACCAGCTGCCCATGTGACCAGGTGGTGACTGTCCACTCTCTTCATTTTCGTAATTATCCCCTGCCGCACGTTTAGCGCGAAGCGGGGGATATAGTATTGGGCTCCGTCCATCCGTCCGTACGAATTGGAATATCTTAAGAGCCATAGACTAGATTCCTTTCATATTTGGTACCTAGGTTCATCACAGTATAAGAAAGGTCCCAGTAAGGTTTGGTGACCTTGACCTTAATTTCAAGGTCACAAGGGGACTTTAACATTTTACTCTTGTCAGTGAGATATCTCAAGAACCGTTCACTAGATTTTCAACAACGAGCTTTATCTAAGGAAGGCGCAGGGCCCAGTCGGTTTTGGTGACCTTCACATAATTTTCAAGGTCATGGCGACACTTGGAAGATTTCAGCATATTAACCTGCATGTTATGCTTGTCAGCGAGATACCTCAAGAACCATTCTGTGGATTTTCTTCATATTTGACACCAAGTTTCATCTAGGGAAAGTGCAAGGCCGAGTCGATTTTGGTGACCTTCACTTAATTTTCAAGGTCACAAAGACACTTTGAAGCTTTCACCATGTTAAATTGCATGTTAAGATAGTCAGCAAGATATCGCCAACAACATTCACTGGATTTTTTCATATTTTGAAGCTTCATCTGGTCAATTTTGGTGACCTTCACATAATTTTCATGGAAGATTTCAGCATGTTCTGAAAGGCTTAGACTTTCCTTCCCTTGAAAGTTTTTCAATAAGCAATTTCTTTAGTACCATTTTTGCATATTTCATACACTATGACATTCATGTCAAGGTCAAAGTCAGTCTTGCAAATATTTGTGTGTTTGAACAACTAAAGAGCAAGATATCAAGAGAGGTTGACTGGTCATGTTTTTGTTGACATTTAACTTCATCTTAAACTTTCATTACTTTTTAAGTTTGATTTGATAATTTGTGGCGGGGGATTATGTCACCTTAGTGATAATGCTTGTTTACAAATTGTAAAAGAAAATTACTGTAGAGCGGGGATTTTTAGCAGAGGAAGGGGTACTTTAGCATAAAATAATATCTTTACTCTAAAAATTTCATTTTTGTAAATATAAACTTTGTAAAATATTTCAGTGTTCTGTAGATGCCGTCAGAATGCCACTTGGTAGGCTTGAGTTGGGACTATGGTTGTTAGCACTGATACAGGAGCGGATACAGCTTTTTGAGAAAGGGGGTTGTGCACTCTTAAAAAGGGTGTGTGTGTGTGTGTGGCTTTTTTTTTTTCGCACACTTCATTTTCACCTTTTTCACGGGTCTTTTAATAAACTTTCAGGACTTTCAGCACCAACCCCACTGGATCCGCCTATGTGATATTTAACATGCTGCAATAGGTTATGTATAGATTCAGGTTACATGAGGATTCACATATAATTTTCACACAGACATATGCGATGATGTTCATTCAGACAAGTCAGCCAATTTCGTGATTTACAAATTTCCTTGGTAGATATGTCTAGGGTAAGTAAGTGTATGGTGCCTTCAGAGACAAGATGATCATGTTTAAGTGTTACTGCATTGTCTTATTACAGATCTGGAAGTCAGCGGCGACACTCGGAGTGTGCGGTAGATGCCAGACGAGCGTGTCGTGTGGACTCGGAATCCATCATTCCCCCTGGCGGGGTGCTGCTAGGTACATACTACTGTATATCTTAAATCACACTCACAGCTATATCTGTGGTGATTTCAGGTTAGAATTGGGAGGTGGGGTAGCCTAGTGGTTAAAGCTTTCGCTCAAAGACCTGGGTTTCGATTCCTCACCTGGGTATAGTGTGTGAAGTTCATTTCTGGTGTCCCACCTGTCATTGATATTGCTGGAATTTTACTAACAGCGGCGTAAAACTAAACTCACTCACTCACGCACGGACTCAGGCTAGAATTGGTCCCAGCAACTTGATCGTGAAGAGGTGATAAAATGGATCTGGTAGTCATGCCTATTTGATAATAGTTGTACCTAAAGTTGTAAATTTGGTTGAACTCTCTCACAATTCATGATTGGTTCATTACCAGTGAGCAATCATCGAAAAATATTGGTTAAGCGTCATTTTGCAGATTTTGCTGTTCAAGTTGTTAATGCACATTAGTATACAGAAAAACATGAGGTGAAATGTAGAAATGATGCAACTTCCACCCTTTGAAAGGGATGATTAACGACTAACATATCATGAACATAAACCTCCCAGTGTCCTCAAGAAATATTGAGTCATGACATGTTAGTAAGTGATGTTGTTTGTGTTTGATTATGAAATTAGTCGGACCACCACTAGTTGTACCCATTCAGTGTGAATCGCTGCATGTAAGTTTAATCTCTGGATTGTCTGGTCCAGGCTGATCTTTTACTGGCCCCATCATATAACTGAAATATTGTGTGAGGAATTATAATTAATTTTACCCTTTTTGAATTCAAGTGGCACTTAGTTTGGAATGGCAGATATAAACTCTATAATCCCACTGCGGTTCCACTTGCTCAGGTCGGACCCGCCCCGCCCGAGTCCCGGGGAAGCAACACAAGCATGAGCAGCGTGGGAAGCTCGAAACAGGGCCTGTTTTCTTCACAGTTGGGAGTCAGGATGATGAGGCTGTGGTTTTGCAGGAGTAAGTGTAAATGTGTCTTTACAGTCCAGTTTGCAAAATATCTGAAAATCAATAATAGTGTATCAAATGTGAGTATGGTGCAGTGATACAAGTCATAGGATGGACTTCAGCAAACAGCAATAGTTGAGACCATCAGCAGTGGCAATACAAGCAATAGCAGTGATGAGAGCTGTGGCATTAGTCAGATTGTGACAAAACGTCCAGCCCCTCTCACTCGCTCACTCTCACTCACTCACATCACCCACACCCACTCACTCACTCGCAACACTGTGTTGGTAATATAGTTCCTTTTGCTGTAACTGTGTTAGTAATGATTCCATCAACTATTGCAGCCCTCACTTCTTCAGCTCAGCTCTCACTCTCTCTCTCTCACTCACTCACTCACTCACTCAACACTGTGTTGGTAATATACTGAAAACGTACTTATTTTCGCGATGGTGCAATTTTCGCGGAATTGACAGTTTAGACTACATCGCGCGGTCAATTATTCGCGCAATCAGTAATTGCCGGAACTGCCAGCTGTCGTTTTGGGCGCCACTAATAGCAGTGAAAACAAACAGAGTGGCGTAACCTGTCAGGCGGCGTTTATTGCTTACTCACAGGAAATCCCTATCTCAGCGATATACCAGTACACAGTAATCCGTTTACTCTCTGAAGTGATGAAAACACATCAGTCTTATGTTCAATTCTTCAATGAATAAAAATATGTTTATTCTTTGATTCAAAGTTTCGAATTGATGACTTATCCCACTCTGTTTGCTTATCTGTCCCTTTAACCAGAGTCATGGTGTAACCATTCTTTGTTATGTTTTCCCAAGAACAGTAAAAACATCTCCCCCCAGACGCACCCTTCTACCACGCACCAGCTGCCCATGTGACCAGGTGGTGACTGTCCACTCTCTTCATTTTCGTAATTATCCCCTGCTGCACGTTTAGCACGAAGCGGGGGATATAGTATTGGGCTCCGTCCATCCGTCCGTACGAATTGGAATATCTTAAGAACCATAGACTAGATTCCTTTCATATTTAGTACCTAGATTCATCACAGTATAAGAAAGGTCCCAGTAAGGTTTGGTGACCTTGACCTTAATTTCAAGGTCACAAGGGGACTTTAACATTTTACTCTTGTCAGTGAGATATCTCAAGAACCGTTCACTAGATTTTCAACAACAAGCTTTATCTAAGGAAGGCGCAGGGCCCAGTCAGTTTTGGTGACCTTCACATAATTTTCAAGGTCATGGCGACACTTGGAAGATTTCAGCATATTAACCTGCATGTTATGCTTGTCAGCGAGATACCTCAAGAACCATTCTCTGGATTTTCTTCATATTTGACACCAAGCTTCATCTAGGGAAAGTGCAAGGCCCAGTCGATTTTGGTGACCTTCACTTAATTTTCAAGGTCACAAAGACACTTTGAAGATTTCAGCATGTTAACCTGAATTCACTGGATTTTCTTCATGGACTTTCAAGGCTTCCCTTGAAAGTTTTTCAATAAGCAATTTCTTTAGTACCATTTTTGCATATTTCATACACTATGACATTCATGTCAAGGTCAAAGTCAGTCTTGCAAATATTTGTGTGTTTGAACAACTAAAGAGCAAGATATCAAGAGAGGTTGACTGATCATGTTTTTGTTGACATTTAACTTCATCTTAAACTTTCATTACTTTTTAAGTTTGATTTGATAATTTGTGGCGGGGGATTATGTCACCTTAGTGACAATGCTTGTTTACAAATTGTAAAAGAAAAGTACTGTAGAGCCGGGATTTTAGCAGAGGAAGGGTACTTTTAGCATAAAATATCAATTTTACTCTAAAAAACATAATATCTTAAAATATTTCAGTGTTCTGTAGATGCCGTCAGAATGCCACTTGGTAGGCTTGAGTTGGGACTATGGTTGTTAGCAATGATACAGGAGCGGATACAGCTTTTGAGAAAGGGGTTGTGCACTCTTTAAAAGGGGTGTGTGTGTGTGGCATGCTTTTTTTCGCACACTTCATTTTCACCTTTTCAACGGGTCTTTTAATAAACTTTCAGGACTTTCAGCACCAACCCACTGGATCGCATATGTGATATTTAACATGCTGCAATAGGTTATGTATAGATTCAGGTTACATGAGGATTCACATATAATTTTCACACAGACATATGCAATGATGTTCATTTCAGACAAGTCAGCCAATTTCGTGATTTACAAATTTCCTTGGTAGATATGTCTAGGGTAAGTAAGTGTATGGTGCCTTCAGAGACAAGATGATCATGTTTAAGTGTTACTGCATTGTCTTATTTCAGACATGGAAGTCAGCGGTGACACTCGGAGTGTGCGGTAGATGCCAGACGAGCATGTCGTGTGGACTCGGAATCCATCATTCCCCCTGGCGGGGTGCTGCTAGGTACATACTACTGTATATCTTAAATCACACTCACAGCTATATCTGTGGTGATTTCAGGCTAGAATTGGGAGGTGGGGTAGCCTAGTGGTTAAAGCTTTTGCTCAAAGACCTGGGTTTCGATTCCTCACCTGGGTGTAGTGTGTGAAGTTCATTTCTGGTGTCCCCTGTCATGACATTGCTGGAATTTTACTAAAAGCGGTGTAAAACTAAACTCACTCACTCACGCACTGACTCAGGCTAGAATTGGTCCCAGCAACTCAATCGTAAGAGGTGATAAAATGGATCTGGTAGTCATGCCTAGTTGATAATTGTTGTACCTAGAGTTGAGAATTTGTTGAACTCTCACAATTCATGACTGGTTCATTACCAGTGAGCAATCATCGAGAAATATTGGTTAGCGTCATTTTGCAGATTTTCCTGTTCAAGTTGTTAATGCACATTAGTATACAGAAAAAAACATGAGGTTTTCTGAATTTTTGGGGTTTTATTTAGAAATTGTGCAAATTCCACATCCAATGTGAAATGATGCAACTTGCCCCTTTAAAGGGATGACTAACATATCATGAACATAAACCTCCCAGTGTCCTCAAGAAATATTGAGTCATGACATGTTAGTAAGTGAAGTTGTTTGTGTTTGATTATGAAATTAGTCGGACCACCACTAGTTGTACCCATTCAGTGTGAATCGCTGCATGTAAGTTTAATCTCTGGATTGTCTGGTCCAGGCTGATCTCTTACAGGCCCCCATCATATAACTGAAATATTGTGTGAGGAATTATAATTATTTTTACCCTTTTTGAATTCAATGGCACTTAGTTTGGAATGGCAGATATAAACTCTATGATCCCACTGCCGGTTCCACTTGCTCAGGTCCGGACCCATCCCGCCCGAGTCCCCGGGGAAGCAACACAAGCATGAGCAGCGTGGGAAGCTCGGAAACAGGGCCGGTTTTCTTCACAGTTGGGAGTCAGGATGATGAGGCTGTGGTTTTGCAGGAGTAAGTGTAAATGTGTCTTTACAGTCCGTTTGCAAAATATCTGAAAATCAATAATAGTGTATCAAATGTGAGTATGGTGCAGTGATACAAGTCATAGGATGGACTTCAGCAAACAGCAATAGTTGAGACCATCAGCAGTGACACAAGCAATAGCCTTGATGAGAGCTGTGGCATGAGTCAGATTGTGACAAAACTTAGTCCAGCCCTCACTCACTCGTTCACTCTCACTCTCACTCACTCACCCACACACCCACTCACTCACTCAACACTGTGTGTTTGTAATATAGTTCCTTTTGCTGTAACTGTGTTAGTAATGATTCCATCAACTATTGCAGCCCTCACTTCTTCAGCTCAGCTCTCTCTCACTCTCTCTCTCTCACTCACTCACTCACTCACTCAACACTGTGTTGGTAATATACTGAAAACGTACTTATTTTCGCGTGGTGCAATTTTCGCGGAATTGACAGTTTAGACTACATCGCGCGGTCAATTATTCGCGCAATCAGTAATTGCCGGAACTGCCAGCTGTCTCTTTGGCCGCCACTAATAGCAGTGAAAACAAACAGAGTGGCGTAACCTGTCAGGCGGCGTTTATTGCTTACTCACAGGAAATCCCTATCTGTGCGATATACCAGTACACAGTAATCCGTTTACTCACGGAAGTGATGAAAAACACATCAGTCTTATGTTCCGAATTCTGACGATTTGACAAATTAAGTTATACTGTATATGAAGCTCTTTGTGATTTCAAACAAGCCGGGTTGTTGTGAATGAGATGATTGAGTGTTAGTGTTCATGATGTACTGGTGAATAAAATCTTAATGAATAAATAAAATACTGTTGTATTATTTCTTTCCGAGTCGTTTCACGGTAATCTGTTTTGTATCAAACCATCTGTCATGTGACCAGTTTCCATGGCGGCCACAACACACATTGCTGTTTTCGCTAATTCGGCAATGGGATTTGGCTCATTATTTAATTATGTTTTGGGAAATCCATTGCAGCGACAGTTAAGTATGATCAGTCGTCATTTTAAGATTCCCGTTGATTTCTGTCTTCAAAGGTGATGTGTTATGGTAACAACTCAGGGGTGAGCGTGGCTAGACTGAATGAATGACAGGTTTATTCGCGGTGTATAAATTTTCGCGCTAAAATGTTTTGCGCGAAAAGAGCGAAAATAAAACCTGCGCGAAATATAATACGTTTACAGTAGTTCCTTTTGCTGTAACTATGTTAGTAATGATTCCATCATCTATTGCAGCCCCCACCTCTTCAGCTCGGCTTCCCTGAGCAAACACTCCCCGAGCTCCAAGAGCAGCCTGTCATCAGACAGTTCCCACTCACGATCATCCCCCCTCCAGACAACGTCCAGTCCAATGGCCGTCCCATGCAGACGCAGACTTGCAGACGGAGCCAGGTCGAACTCGCCTGGTCTAGGAAGGTTAGTAACCATGGTAACATTACAGTCATGAAAACACCTGCACACACCCAGAAGAGGCTGTAGCAGGAGGGACCATGAAACCTTGAAGCAGTTTCACCAAAATTTATTTTGAGAACTTCCCTCAACTTATTTATTGTAGATTAATATGTTAATATTTTACTTAGATTTTCTGATCTGTGCCTACTAGAGTTGAGCTTAGATGTTTTAGTAATACTGCAGAAACTTCCCACAAACTCTTTTGCCTAACTATGGCGTTAGTGTACTTGTAGTGCTGTGAACATTGTGTGTATCTCCACTAATCCATTCTAGTGTGCTGTGTCCCTGTCATCATTTAGTAATGGTAACCATGGTAACAGGTAGCCCTGTTGATGGCGACAGACATGCTGTTACGATGCTTCTGGAATAAGTAGGATTTTAGTTTGATTGTAGGTAACTTAAGTCGAGAAAACTGCACTTTAGGTTGGTCTTGACATAGAATTCAGTGGTAATGTGCAGGTTTCCAATTGGCCTAGCTGACTGGCGCAGTTTAGGTGTTGGTATGTTGAGTTTCACAAGGGCTGGTAGTAGAATTTCATGCTTTTTAGGGGATGTCCTGTGTGTTATGGGTACTCCAGCAAGTAAATATTACAGGTTACTCTGCTTCCCAGAATTATCAGGAGTTGGTATTTTGTATTGTTCTAACTAAATGACAGCTTCAGCTGTTAGACTTTGAGACTAGTCCTGTCTCACAGGCAGTGCTATGGCATCCGGAATTTGTCACTGACAAAGACAACTGTGAAAGATGACTTGCACATTGTGATTATGCAACTCGTTTTCTCACTGAATCAACCAATCTTTCAGTCTTCTTGGATAAATAAGCAGCGTTGAAGATCACTCCCACTATCATGTGTGTTTCATGTTGTGTTTGTCTATTCGTCCTTAAACTCTATTAGTGGTACCTTAGCTTCACTTAATGTATTCAAAGAAGTGTGTTTGGGACGTGTGCTTCATCTTGTACAATGGAAGTATCCTGTGATGTGTGCTTCATCCTGTAAAGTGAAAGTATCCTGTGATGTGTGTCTGTGATGTGTGCTTCATCCTGTACAGTGAAAGTATCCTGTCATGTGTGTTTGTGATGTGTGCTTCATCCTGTACAGTGAAAGTATCCTGTCATGTGTGTCTGTGATCTGTGCTTCATCCTGTACAGTGAAAGTATCCTGTCATGTGTGTCTGTGATGTGTGCTTCATCCTGTACAGTGAAAGTATCCTGTCATGTGTGTTTGTGATGTGTGCTTCATCCTGTACAGTGAAAGTATTCTGACATGTGTGTTTGGGATATGTGTGCTTAATACTGTACAGTGAAAGTATCCTGTGATGTGTGCTTCATCCTGTACAGTGAAAGTATCCTGTCGTGTGTCTGTGATGGGTGCTTCATCCTGTACAGTGAAAGTATCCTGTCATGTGTGTCTGTGATGTGTGCTTCATCCTGTACAGTGAAAGTATCCTGTCATGTGTGTCTGTGATGTGTGCTTCATCTTGTACAGTGAAAGTATCCTGTCATGTGTGTCTGTGATCTGTGCTTCATCCTGTACAGTGAAAGTATCCTGTCATGTGTGTTTGTGATGTGTCCTTCATCCTATACAGTGAAAGTATTCTGACATGTGTGTTTGGGATATGTGTGCTTAATACTGTACAGTGAAAGTATCCTGTGATGTGTGCTTCATCCTGTACAGTGAAAGTATCCTGTCATGTGTGCTTCATCCTGTACTGTGAAAGTATCCTGTCATGTGTGTCTGTGATGTGTGCTTCATCCTGTACAGTGAAAGTATCCTGTCATGTGTGCTTCATCCTGTACCGTGAAAGTATCCTGTCATGTGTGCTTCATCCTGTACCGTGAAAGTATCCTGTCATGTGTGCTTCATCCTGTACAGTGAAAGTATCCTGTCATGTGTGTCTGTGATGTGTGCTTCATCCTGTACAGTGAAAGTATCCTGTCATGTGTGCTTCATCCTGTACAGTGAAAGTATCCTGTCATGTGTGCTTCATCCTGTACAGTGAAAGTATCCTGTCATGTGTGCTTCATCCTGTACCGTGAAAGTATCCTGTCATGTGTGTCTGTCATGTGTGCTTCATCCTGTACAGTGAAAGTATCCTGTGATGTGTGCTTCATCCTGTACAGTGAAATTATCCTGTCATGTGTGCTTCATCCTGTATGTTGAAAGTATCCTGTCATGTGTGCTTCATCCTGTACAGTGAAAGTATCCTGTCATGTGTGCTTCATCCTGTACAGTGAAATTATCCTGTCATGTGTGCTTCATCCTGTACAGTGAAAGTATCCTGTCATGTGTGCTTCATCCTGTACAGTGAAAGTATCCTGTCATGTGTGCTTCATCCTGTACAGTGAAAGTATCCTGTGATGTGTGCTTCATCCTGTACAGTGAAAGTATCCTGTGATGTGTGCTTCATCCTGTACAGTGAAAGTATCCTGTGATGTGTGCTTCATCCTGTACAGTGAAAGTATCCTGTGATGTGTGCTTCATCCTGTACAGTGAAATTATCCTATTGTTCTGATTTGTTCCCACTTTTAACAGTATTCCAGTTCTGCCTTACATGGCGTGGGAGGAATGCCATAAGTGAAACTTTAGTTTTTGCACTGTAAGTGACGAGTCAGCAGTTCAGGGGACACATTGTGACCTGACTATTTGGATGTTTCCATGTCATAGCAGCATTTAATGCTACAGCCATAGCAGAGAGGGATCCAGGTTTGAGAAAATACACACAATAGCCAAATCGTGATCTGCCAATGGTTAATACTTCTGTTCTACACGTCTGTCCGTATTGGCCCTCCAGTCATGTTCCTGATGTTTAAATGCATTGCAAGCTTTATGCTAATGCAGAGCATGCTCTAGCTTACTTCAGAGCATGGTCTATGCTGAATCCAGTGCATGCTCTATGCTGAGTCTGTGCATGTCTATGCCGAAGTCTGTGCATGCTCCCTCCCATGCACGCCTTTGCTCTACGCTACATGATGTGTATGCCCCATGCTGTGTTTTAGCTGGCAGATCATCAGCAGTACAGGGAGTCTGAGAGGCTGCCACGATTCCCCCCAAATCAGCAGCATCAGCGGCGGCGGCGGTTGCAAGTCCAGCAGCAGCAGCAGCCACCTCAGCTTCAGCTCGTATGTCCTCCTCTAATCCTCCTCCTCCTCCTCACGCATATCTCTCCACTCAATAACACGCCCTCTCCTTGTCAGGGCCTTGCTTGTGATTAAATACCTTGACCTTGTTATTGTGAGGACTGTTAAGTATGTTCTTTGTGTTAGATCTGTAATGTTGGTACTCACTTCTCAGAGCTGTCAACCCCTAAAGATGGTTTGGAGTGAGACTGAAAAAAATAAGCCGGGGTCCAGGGCGACGCCCTGGTGGAGGGTCTCTGGGGGGCAAAGCCCCCCGCCCCCAAAAATGAAGTTTAGTGATTTTCAGGAGCATTTGGAGCCTTCTGGTGGCATTATTTTGACACTAAAAGATGCATGCTAATAAATAATAATAACCCGAATCATTCGCATAAACATCGTTTTAGTACTTCGTTCATTCAGGCGTTCTTTCAATGTTCAACTTTACACAAAAGCGAATGAAAATGCGTATTAATTTTGAAATTATTTTTGGCTACCAGATATGCGTGAGATTATTATTTGGAGGCGTGAGAGCGTGACATTTGTCAATAAAGCGTGAGACTCACGCCAAATGCGTGGGAGTTGACAGGTATGACTTCTACCTCATGCAGTAGTATCAGAGTTTCCATAACATGGACATGTTTAACAGCTGTGTCACCACTAAGGCAAGTTCGTTTACTGACACAGGATTGGGTTGAACATTTTTACACTCTTCTCCAATTCTTCATGGGTAGGATACTTACTAAGAGAGCATATACAAGCAGGAATTACAGATTTTTAATCCTGGGAAAATAATTTTTGTAAGTTTCTGTGTCTTGGCATAAAACTTATATTAATTCATGAGGGTTAGATATTCTGTAGTTTGGTGTTGTGGGTTGTTTTGTTTCTATAATACCTGTATGCTTTGTGTGAAGATGTGAAAAATGTGTTTTTTCTTATACAGCAATGTTGGAACAACGTCATATGACATTGTCATAACATCTTGTGACAATATGTTTATACAAAACCCTGTTGCTACTGGCATGTAACAGTTGTCATTATGGTCAGTGAGAGGGGACAGTGGGGAAGCCTAGTGGTTAAAAGCTTTCGCTCGTCGGGAGTTGACCTGGGCTTGATTCCTGACATGGGTACAATGTGTGAAGCCCATTTCTTGTGTCCACCGTGATATTGCTAAAAGTGGCATAAAACTAAATTCACTAACTCATTCAGTGATATTTTCTTATGATATACTTGTCCTGTATCATGTACAGTAGAACATGGTTATAGCGAATACGGATATAGCGTACAAACGGATATAGCGGACAAATTTAAAAGTTAAAATTATACGTGAATAACGAACTCGTGAGTAGCGAATTATCGGCTATAGCAAACTGATTTACTACCCCCAAGACCCAATTAACGACGTGATTAGCGAACTCACTCAGTGTCAGCTCAGCCACGTAGCGGTACAGTATACATCGATCTTGTTGGCGGTGAATCAACATTGTTTGATGGTCATTAATTAATTAACAAAACAAACATATCGTGTTTAACCCATTCAACACCGCAGGCCGAATGACGAGGACGGTATCCATTGCCGTAGTATGATTGGCTGCCTTAGGTCTCGTGTCTGATTTTGACCAATCACGATCCTTATAGCAGACTGTGGCGAAAAAGCGTCATTAGAAACCAATCTTTATCCAATAAAATCGCTTTTACAACTGTGAAAATACTCTCGGCAAGGGTACAGTGATATTGTTGATGTTCCAGAGCTGTCGAACGATACCAGACACCACACGATTAAGCCGCGCATGTTATTCATACAAAGCGAAAATGGAGGTATTTCCCGTTGTTGTGTCATGTTAACGAAGGTAAAGCCTGATTACATAAAAATGAAAATATAAAAGAAAAAGGCACGGGCATGTTATGACATGTCACAAATGGAAAAAAAATCGCTACAGTTTTTGCTTCTTTCGTGGTTTATCTGGACATTATAAATGTAAGCTTGCATTTTCATTAAAAAATAAATTTATTTAAGTTGTAGTTGTATTATTTCAATTTTATTATAAAAATAAACTTCATATTTATCAACATGATATAGGTAATGTCTGTGAATGTCTACATCTCTACAATCCAAGATGGCGGTCAAATGTGAATAACGAACAACCGATATAGCGAACTAAATTTCTTGGTCCCTTGGAGTTCGTTATATCTGTGTTCTACTGTATCTCCTAGTCCTTATGGGTAATGCACTGCATCTGCCAATGAACACAGAGATGTCAACTGTGGCTTCAGCTGACAGCTAAAAATTTAAAGCAAACCTCCTGATCGGAGATCCCAATGTGAAGATATCAGCAATTTTCAGTTCTGACTAGTTAACTGTTTCAGAGCTAAGTGTTTTTTAGATCCTTATCTTTAAACTTTCCCATTAAGATAAAGGTTGGTAAGCCTTCCATGGTGTTAGATGCTAACTGCTATAGCGAATTCAAATTTCAACTCTGAGACATTTAATGAAATCACTCCAAGTGTTTACAGTTTTGTATAGAAGTATGATTTTAAAAATTTATTTTGCTTTAAAATTATTTTAACCATGTATGGATAAACTGCTCAGCTGTAAGAAAGCATAATTTCCTAGTGTGCTGGATTGTAGCAAATTGGTAAAAGGTGCACAGTCAATTTATAAACTTATTGTCATTGACATGGCACTGATGATGTCATCTATTGCATAGTTAGTGTTAACATACTAGGCATCATTAATGAAGGGTCAAATGATATATAGCACAAGTGACCCGTGAAGGTCCGGGTTAGAATATTGATCTTCAGTAGCCCATGCTTGTCGTAAGGCTCAGGCGACTAACGGGATCGGGTGGTCAGGCTCGCTGACTTGGTTGACACATGTCATCGGTTGCCAGTTGCGCAGATCGATGCTAATGCTGTTGATCACTGGATAGTCTGGTCCAGACTTGATTATTTACAGACCCGCCGCCATATAGCTGGAATATTGCTGAGTGCGGCGTAAAACTACACTCACTCACTCATTATAGCACATGTGCAGAAATGTTTCTTAGAAATAATAGAACTAAGAGTGTCATCAAAATGTTTAATGTGTTGACAAACGTGACACATCGTGACATACAGACACAAAGTTCAAACATCACTAGCAAACATCAGTTTTTATAGAACAACCCCCCAAAATCAAAAAGACAAACATGAAGCACTCAGTCATTGAATATGTTGTGTACCCTCCTCGTGTGTCCAAGACACAGGTGCACCTTGTTCTCATGCTCCTTATCAAGTTCATAAAGAAAGCTTGAGGAATGGCATTCTAATCCTCTATTAGAGCTCTGAACAGTGAACGACAGTGAAAAAGCATCAATGCATGTGTATTGTCCTCCAGTTTCCATGGATAGAGCGACTTGACGTGCAAATCATTGACATTAAGTGGCAGGTGGATTTCAATATTGACAATTTGAACAGAATGTATTGGACGTAAAAGAACGAAACAATGACATTTCAATGGCCTGATGTTTTTCATACTGTTCCGACAGTTTGTAAAACATTCAGATGTACAGTAGAACACGGATATAACGAACACGGATATAGCGTACAAACGGATATAGCGAACAAATTTAAAAGTCCCGTCAACAGTCCTTTATAATATCATTAAAATTATACGCGAATAACGAACTCGTGAGTAGCGAATTAACGGCTATAGCGAACTGATTTACTACCCCCAAGCCCAACTAACGACGTGATTAGCGAACTCACTCAGTGTCAGCTCAGCCACTTGGCGGTATACATCAACCTTGTTGGCGGCGAATCAACATTGTTCGATGGTCATTAACGTGTTTATCAAAACAAACATGTCGTGTTTAAAAGCTTGAGATTGTTGTGATTGTTAAACATGTTCTAGTTAATGTCTGTGAATGATAAATTCAGAATTTTAATGTTTTGTCAATGTACATGTACAAGAATAAATATTTGTAGCCTCAGCCTATACGTGTCTCTACATCTCTACAATCCAAGATGGCGGTCAAATGTGAATAACGAACACCGGATATAGCGAACTTAATTTCGTGGTCCCTTGGAGTTCGTTATATCCGTGTTCTACTGTATATTATTTCAAACAAAATCAAAGCTTTTACAATTTTTAAGAAATAGTGTTACCGATAGCTTGACCCTTCATTAATGATGCCAAGTGTAATATTATTAATATTGCTGAAAGCGGCATAAAACCTTGCTAACTCACTCACTCACTCACAACATTAAGGAAGAATAGTTATTCCTATGGCTGGAATATTTCTCAAAACAGAATAACAAAATTATTGTGAATAAAACTTTCTCATAGATGATTGGCTAGTGCTGAGTGATTGAAGTAATTTAACATCTCGACTGTGATTGAAATAGGCTATAAACATTTTGTTCAGATAATTTCATATCTACTGGAATGTGGCAATAGCTGATTCAGTTTCTATGCTGATAACTCTTGCACTATTTTTTAAGGAGAGAATACAATGTCATTGTGAATATTTGTTGTATGATTTAAGCCAGGGTCTCATGATTGCCACTTATTCTTTGAACTCCAAATTCAGAAATTTGAATTATGTATGCTGGAATCATTTTATATGTGTGAATTTAATAGTGTCAGTTTCATGTCCCTTATATTTGTTTTGTGTTACTGTTGTATAACGTATATTGACAGGACAATGCTGAACAGTTTGTGATGCTGATTGGTATTATGATGTGTTGAAAAATCACAAATGTAAGAGAATTTGTGAAACATTTGTTATTTTTGAGTAATGCGTCTCCTGTTACACTTTCCATTTAAAATATTGTCTTCATTCACTCAGTTTGAAGGTGAGCTTCAGGACCTATGTGTCATGTTGTCCCATATATCCTCAGTACAAGGAAAGTTGGCATGTTTACTTTGATCATGTCAGACTTTTACCAACATCGGTACTACTCTGATAGCAGAGAGTAACTTTGAGTGGAGTGTTGACACTCACTTCCTTTATTATTATAGGTGT